AAGATTGGAAATTACCTAAGTGTTCTTTATTATAAAAATACAATGAAATACTGGGCAGGAATAAAGAATGAGGAAACACTTTTTGGAGTAATATAGAAAAATCTCAAAGATATTAAGGAGAGAAAGTACAAGGTGTAGAAAGTGCAAGGTGTATAGAATACTATAATTTGTGAAAAAAGCGGGGAAGAGAATACACATATTTACTCATAAATGCATAATTATATCTTGGAAATAAAAGAGACTGGTAGCATGGTACCTTCAGAGAGGTGCAGTGGATGGCTGGGAATATATAGTAACTTTTGAATTTTGAACACATATGCATTACCACTTTAATAAATCTATAATAAAACAAGAAAAACAAAAATGTTTTCTTTTTTTTTAAGATTTTATTTATTTATTTGACAGAGAGAGAAACAGCGAGAGAGGAACACAAGCAGGGGGAGTGGGAGAGGGAGAAGCAGGCTTCCCGCGGAGCAGAGTGCCCGATGTGGGGCTCGATCCCAGGGCCCTGGGATCACAACCTGAGCTGAAGGCAGACGCTTAACGACTGAGCCACCCAGGCGGCCCCCCAAAATGTTTTCTGAACGTCTCTCTTTGTACACACTATTTTAATTTCAAATAAATCCTGATTTAATATTCTGATTAAAGTGTTGAGGTACAGGGTTTTCACATAAGGAATCATGCAGAAGTAAGTATCTTGAGATTATTTTCAGATGTGGTCACTTACTGATTTTGTTTCAAGGCAAAACCACTTATGTCTATTTCGTGTGTGTGTGTGTTTTAAAAATTTTATTTATTTGAGAGAGTGTGTGAGCGAGAGAGCACAAGTGGGGGAGGGGCAGAGGGAGAGGGAGGAGCAGGCAGCCCAAGGCAGGGCTTGATCCTAGGACCCCCGGATCATGACCTGAGCCGAAGGCAGGGACTCAACCAACTGAGCTTAGGTGCCCCTTTGTGTGTGTGTGTGTTTTAAGTAGGCTCCACCACCCAACATGGGGCTTGAACTCACAACCCTCAGATCAAGAGTCAGATGCTCTACAGACTGAGCCAGCCAGGGACCCCAATCTATTTCATGTTTTTATTTCACTTTTGGTGGTGACAAGGCCTGGGCGGTATTATGATATTAATATTTTCAAACATCTTAAGAGGTTCTTTCAACAACCAGAACACTATAACAATTTCATTAACTGTTAAGTAGCAAAAAGTTCTGAAGTTCTGAATTAAAAGACCCCTTTATAACTTTTTAAAATGCCATTTTCAATTATTTTAATAATTCAGTTGATGAAAATAGTTTTGCAAAGGACTTTTAGCTTAGAAATCTGAAAAAAGAAAAAAAATTCTAACAAGATTATTTAAAGCTCTAAAACAAGGTACCACAAAGTTGTAGAAATGTGTTTGGCTCAATGCCTATTTGAGAAAAAAAAAATTTTTAATGCAGTGGGATTGGTTAGCCAGACTTTATAATTCTGTGGGCTCTTGAACTGAAATGATAATCTGGGCAGTAATAGAACACAATTTTTTTTTTTAAATCACCAAGGCTTATTGCAGAGGAAAAGCTTGTCTTTCCGAGAAAAATAAATTTCTTTAAGGTCAGAATACTTGAACTGCCTACAAATTCTTTTCCTTTTGAGTGTCCTGCCCTTTTTGCCACAAAATGCTTTCCTAAGATCATCTGATACACAACCCAGAGTTTAAGTCAGCAGGATTTAGTAGGTTTGATTTGGTTGGTGGGTGGTTGAAAGACAAAAGTTTGGGAGATCCACTCTTGTGTGGAGTAAGTAGAACTGTGACCTCTTGTATATACTTGAGTGACTGGAGAGACAGATTCTTTGGCTGTGGTCTTCTGAAGTGGTCTGGGGCAAGATTCCACTGAAAACCAGTGTCTGAGGGGCGAATAAGGCTGGACTCCATGTTTGATATATCTTCTATACCGTCTCAACTTTCTACCTTTTATCTCATTCACAGTTCGGCATCCTTTCTAGATTCTCAGTTCCATCTCCTTTGTAACCTCCTCCCATATCCCTACTCCCTTTAAAAATGTCCCTTGCTATATTCACACCACCATCTCTGTTAAAAGAAAAGGGGGGAAGGAGTGAGTGAGAGCTCCCTCATAAAGATTCTTTGGTATCCATAGGAACCATTTTAAACCAGTGACATCTTCCTTGGACATCAGACTATAAACTCTACAGGGTGAAAGAAAGTAGAGAAGACATCACTAAATCATTCAGTAACTGGCACTCAGTCATGTTCTGTGGTGGGAAGTCATCACCATTGTTCAGGAAGAATAGAATCCATCACTTCCTCTGTGTTTTGTGTAACAGAAGGCAGTTGTTAATTACCCTTTCTAATCCTTTTCCTCTGCTGTTCTCTGACAAGGGTTTGGGAAGAGGTAGGGAAAGCAATTGATATGATACGGTTTCTGGGATGACAGGAAAGTCTCTGTTCCCCACCATCACCTCCAGCCTCATTTCCAAATATCTCCTCTCTCCATTCTGCTCAGTAATGCCTAACATTTCTCAATTAGAGATTCATGTCTTTGGCTTAAGAGCTCTACCTTTTTGGGTGCTTGGGTGGCTTGGTTGGTTGAGCGCCTGCCTTTGGCTCAGGTCGTGATCTTGGGGTCCTGGGATTGGGTCCCACGTTGGGCTCCCTGCTCAGTGGGGAGTCTCCTTCTCCCTCTCCCTTTATCCCTCCCCCTGCTTGTACTGTCTTGCTCTCTCTCTCTCAAATAAACAAATAAATCTTGGGACGCCTGGGTGGCTCAGTCGGTTAAGCATCTGCCTTCAGCTCAGGTCATGATCCCAGGGTCCTGGGATCCAGTCCCAAATCGGGCTCCTTGCTCAGCGGGGAGCATGCTTCTCCCTCTGCCTACTGCTCCCCCTGCTTGCACGCTCTCTCTCTCTGATAAATAAATAAAATCTTTAAAAATAAAATAAAATCTTAAAAAAAGAGAGAGAGCTCTACCTTGTTAAAAAGCAAACATCCCTGGAAGAGTTAAGATCATTAAAACTTGCATTATTAATCATTTCTACCATAACAACCAGTTTATTAGATCCTTTCCTGAGAGGGATAGAAAAAGAATAGAAAAGGAGCTTGGAGACAGGAAGGAGGGGGAAGCTGTGAGGGGAAAGAGATTTTACAATTTTATCTAGTGCAAGTTTACTTGCCCGGGTTGATGTCTAGGAGATCCTGCCCTTCCCCTTTTTTTTTCTTTTACTTACATGATAGTTTAATCTTTCAATAAGAAAAAAAAAGTAATTTATTTTTTTTTAAGATTTTTTAATTTATTTGACAGAGAGAGACACAACGAGAGAGGGAACACAAGCAGGGGGAGTGGGAGAGGGAGAAGCAGGCTTCCCACGGAGCAAGGAGCCCGACGCGGGGCTCCATCCCAGGACCCTGGGATCATGACCTGAGCCGAAGGCAGATGCTTAACGAGGACCAAAAAAAAATGACCTGAACCGAAGGCAGATGCTTAACGACTGAGCCACCCAGGCGCCCCAGAAAAAAAAACTAATTTCTTATATGTATTTCAGTATAAGGAAGTAAAGCAATATTCAGAGTAAAAAAAGTAAGAATCTAAAATAATAAAGACATGGCTGGAGGCACCTGGGTGGCTCAGTCAGTTAAGCGTCTGCCTTCATCTCAGGTCATGATCCCAGGATCCTGGGATCGAGTCCCGCATCGGGCTCTCAAATAAATAAATAAATAAATAAATAAATAAATTCTGCCCCTGCTTGTGCTCTCTCTGTCAAAAATAAATAAATAAATAAATAAATAAATAAATAAATAAATAATCTTTAAGACATGGCTGGGCCAGTAATTGATAATGAATAATACCTTTTAATAGTATATGATGAAAATAAAACTGAAATCATATTCAGTTATATTGAACTTTTAACATGTTATAACACAAATTAAGTCCAGAAATTTTTGTTGTGTATATTTAAAAAATTCTATAAAAACACAAACTTATGTCTGAGGAGAGCCTTGCAAGAAAATAATGGAGATATTCGGAATTAAAGGACTTGTTAATGTAATCAGTTAAGTACTTCTTCAGCCTTTCCCAAACTGCTGAGGTATTAAAAAGCAGACCTCTGCTTCTTCTTCTTCTTCTTCTTTTTTAAGTAATCTCTGTCCAACATTGGGCTTGAACTCATGACTCCGAGATCGAATTGCGTGTTCCGCCAACTGGCCCAGCCAGGCGCCCCAGACCTCTGCTTCTTAATGGATGCTTCTCTCTGTGAATTTTAACACAATGAAACATAAATAAAATAAGTATTGTACTTGCCCCTCCCTGTTGGTGGTATTACTCAGAAAATAAAAATCTGCCTGGCAGGAAAGGGACTCTGGCATAAATATGAGTGAAGAGAAAGGATTCTTTCAAACTCTTACATGTCTCTGGCGATCTAAACCACATCCTAAACCTAGAGGTCTGTTCATTGCTGTGAGACAGGGTAGTACATGAGATCAAACCCAGGATTCAAACAATATTCCTCAAAAATAACCACCAGCTTTTGTCTTAAGTCCACTCCTCTACAGTGTTTGATGCACATTCTATCCTTTTGAAAAATGAGGTATGCTAACTTTGTGTTTATTATTTGAGGCTCAGTATCACTTTACACCATTTTTTTTTTTTGGTTACATGAATTTGGGGTATGAGTTCAGCAACTGGGATTCATGGTAGAGTAGTTCTGCATTTATTGACAGTAGAGGGACAGAGCAGATGAAAAAAGGGCAGAGCAGACAAGCCAAGGGTGTGGACTTTGCAGCCAGACTCTCGAGATTGAATCCTGGCATTTACTAGTTATTGACTTTGGGCAAGTCACTTTCATCTTCTGTTCCTCAGCTTTCCCATGTGTAAAATGGAGAGAATCATACATGGAGTAGTTGAGGATTAAAAGAGTTAATCATATAATGTACTTAGAGTCTGGCTCATTGTAAACATTCAGTAAGTGTTAGTCATTCTTACTGAATAATCCACAAACTGGATAGTTCAAAAGTGGAGAGTGAAGGTGGTTTAATGCACCGAGACCAAGGAGAAGCAAGCACTGTGTATAACTCAAATGTGCTCAGAGCACTGAAGTTTAGCATCCAGCGGCCATCCTCCAGGTGTCCTTTTGGCTCTGCTCAAGGGTGAAGATTTAATTCAGCCTGCAATTAGCTCAAAACTCCTGACTGCTAGCCTCAAATATGAACACCTCTCTTGGGCAGGGATCCTCTTGAGGTCACACATAGCATGCTGTGACAACTCCTAAAACAAACCCAACTCACCATTAATCATAAAGAAATTTGTAAAGATGTCTTGGCAGAGAGCTGGGGGTAAAAGGTGAAAATCTGGGGGACAGGGCGCCTGGGTGGCTCAGTTGGTTAAGCGACTGCCTTTGGCTCAGGTCATGATCCTGGAGTCCCGGGATCGAGTCCCGCATCGGGCTCCCTGCTCAGCAGGGAGTCTGCCTCTCCCTCTTCCCTCTCATGCTCTCTGTCTCTCATTCTCTCATTCTCTCTTTCTCAAATAAATAATCTTTAAAAAAAAAAAAAGAAAAGAAAATCTGGGGGACAGGGTGGTGAGGATTCATGTTGCTCACTTTACAACAAAAACTTCACGCAATTCACCATGGGATGTGTCTATTTTTCACATGCCAGTTGACTCATTTCCTCTCTTTTCTCATACCACCTCCCAGAGGCCTCTCCATTGCCCTAGGCAGTTCAGCTGTGGTTCTCCACTTAGGTTCCTCAAACAAACAAGAGCCTAGGAAGTAGACCAATAGTGACCATTTCTAATTAATCTGGTATGCCTCTTGGCGGGTCCCCACCCTTCTACATGCAGCTTATCAAATTATTCACCCAACACAAGTTAATCTCTTTTTTGGGACACTTCTTCTTGAAAATTTTCTCCATCTAAGCTTAAAGCAGACGGTGGGTGCTCAACAAACAATAGCTCCCATCCTGGAGCCACTTGAGCATCTGAGAGTAGTTGTAGGAGCGACCATCAGGAAAATGAAAAGGGGAAGGAAGGAGTGGAGATCTTGCATAACTGGGGTAGATTCAGTATTTTTTTAAATTTTAAATTTTAATTTTAATTAATTTTAAATTTTAATTAATTAAAAAAAATTACTTCAGAAATTTTTTCTTGCTTGAAGGTTTTTAAGGGCAAGAGAAAGGAGGAGAAAGGTCACGGGATTTTATAAAAATACACCAGTAATATCAAACTGTAAGAATTGGTTGTTACTTTATTCCTAAGACTGTTGACAAGTAGATGGGGCTTTGATGAAAGACCCAACAGTACTAACACTACAATATTAACATTTATTTAGAATCTCTTTTGAAGCTGTGCCTGTTTATCAAGACTGTAACTTCATGGACGTTCTGGCATGCCTCAAAAACTCAGCAGAATTTTACTATTTCTGCAAATTTAAAGAGCCGCCCTCCCTTATATATTCTAATTCCTTTTTTAAAAAGATTTTATTTATTTGTCAGAGAGAGAGAGAGGGAGAGAACAAGCAGGGGGAGCACCAGGCAGAGGGAAAAGCAGACTCTCTACTAAGCAGGGAGCCGGACGCGGGACTTGATCCCAGAACCCTGGGATCAAGACCTGAGCCGAAGTCAGACACTTAACCAACCGAGCCTCCCTGGTTCCCCTATATTCTAATTCCTTAAAGGTTTTGACAGCAAAAATTATGTTCTGAGGTAATTAAATGGGTGGAGATAGCTTCAGGCTGGCATTGCTTTAAGTCTGAAAAAAAAATGTGGCACTATTGTTTTTGTGGTTTCTGAAAGAATTAGTTTTTACCCGATGTTACTTGCCTTGCATTTCTAAGTAGGAAGACAGCTCATGAGCTTCCTCAGCCCGGAAACAGACTGCCTGGGATCTGGTTCAGCCCCCACCTTTTGCACTCGGAAGAGAGCCCGAGAGGCGATGATGCGCAGAGAGGGCTCAGGATCACCCAGCAGATCTCTCAGATCTAAATGGCCAGAAAACCCAGGTTGGAGGTGAAGGTCTATGAAAATGATCACTGGTCCAGACACCAAACAGCCAACAAGCCTACAGCAACTGAGATGAAGGACTAACTTTTTCTAAGACTCTATCTGAAAGTTATACATTTGTAGATCAATTCCAATTTTGACCTATGAAACTTACTCATTTTTGAATTGCCAAATAGTTTACTCCTTTACAATAACCACACTGCCAAGTAGTCCACCTAAAGTCAAATTATCTGTACCTGTCAAGCCATGGCTAAGATTGCTGATTTCTAAGTTCCTGTGTTGGTCCTAGAGGCTACTCTTAAGTTGTTATTCCTTTTAAGCTTTTTCTTAAATTTTTTTAGTTTTTATGTTTCTTAGTGCAAAATAAATACACGTTCATTGTGTAGAAAGTTTAGATAACATATAAGCACTAGAAGAAAATCAGTTACCCATAATTCAACCACCAGAGAAAACCAGTTACGTTTCTGTTTCTTTTTTATATTCAGTTACACATGTGTGCCTTTTTGTTCAAGTGGAACCACATTATACATATTATCTAATAATTTTTTATTTAATACTTTATTTAATACTTAAAGTCATTAAAATTTTTTTCTGTAATATATTTCATAGCTTTGGGTGCTTGGCTGGCTTAGTCAGTAGAGCATGCAACTCTTCATCTTGGGGTTGTGAGTTCGAGCCCCACAGAGAGAGAGAGAGAGATACTTTTATTTTTTTTAAAGATTTTATTTATTTATTTAATTGACAGAGAGAGAGAGAGAGACAGCGAGAGAGGGAACACAAGCAGGGGGAGTGGGAGAGGGAGAAGCAGGCTTCCCGCCAAGCAAGGAGCCCGATGCGGGGCTCGATCCCAGGACCCTGAGATCATGACCTGAGCCGGAGGCAGTCGCTTAACCAACTGAGCCAACCAGGCGCCCCGAGATTATACTTTTAAAAAAATATTTTTCATGGCTTCATATGATTCTATAATATGGATATGCAATACTTTATGAAACTAATTGCTTAGTATTTCTAATCTTGGATGTTTTCCATTTTTGCTATTTTAAATAACACTGGAATGAACATTCCTGTATCTATTTCTGCTTATTTTCATAGGATAAATTCTTAGTAGTGAGATTGATAAGTCAAAGTATATATTTACTTAAAGGGTTTGATACATACTGCCAAACTTCCCTATAAAAATGGTGTATCAATCTGTGCTCATACCAGCACAATGTATGATAATGTCAGTTTCCAGGTGCCTGGCTGGCTCAGTCAGAAGAGCATGTGACTCTTGATTTCAGGGTTGTGAGTTCAAGCCCAACATGGTCCCAGGGTCCTGGCATCGAGCCCCGCACAGGGCTCCCTGCTCGGCGGGAGGCCTGCTTCTCCCTCTCCCACTCCCCCTGCTTATGTTCCCTCTCTCGCTGTGTCTCTCTCTGTCAAATAAATAAATAAATCTTTAGTTTTTATTTTTAATAATAAATAAACTTAAAAAAAAGATAATGTCAGCTTTCCCTTAACATATTTATGTTGAGTATTAATTAGAAGTCTTTGCCATCTTGACAGAAAAAGTCATACTGGTATCTCATCATTGCTTTGTTTTATAAACTTTTTAAAAATTATTTTTATTTTATTTTTAAAAGATTTTATTTATTTATTTATTTATTTGAGAGCAAGAGAGAATGTGAGCAGGAGGAGGAGCAGAAGGAGAAGTGGACTTCCGCACTGAGCAGGGAGACCGATGCGGAACTCGATCCTAGGACCCTGGGATCATGACCTGAGCCGAAGGCAGATGCTTAACTGACTGAGCCACCCAGACACACCCAAAAATTTTTTTAAGATTTTATTTATTTATTTGAGCGAGAGAGAGCGCGCATGTGCGTGCACAATTTGGGGGAGGGGCAGATGGGGAGGGAGAGGGAGAAGCAGGCTTTCCACTGAGCAGGGAGCTCTATGCAGGGCTTGATCCCAGGACCTTGGGATCATGACCTGAGCCAAAGGCAGATGCTTAATCAACTGAGCCACCCAGGTGCCCCTCTCATAATCTTGCTTTTTTTTTTTTTTAAAGATTTTATTTATTTATTTGACAGAGACATAGCAAGAGAGGGAACACAAGCACGGGGAGTGGGAGAGGGAGAAGCAGGCTTCCCGCTGAGCAGGGAGCCTGAGGCGGGGCTCGATCCCAGGACTCTGGGATCACTGAGCCGAAGGCAGGCACTTAACGACTGAGCCACCCAGGTGCCCCTCTCATAATCTTTCTTAAATAAGGTCCAGCTTCTGCCTATTTTACCAGTTACATATTTTTATTTTAAAAGTAGTGAATTGTTCAGGATTTTATTTTTTTTAAGATTTTTTTCCCTCAAGATTTATTTATTTATTTGGGGGGCAGGGGCAGAGGGAGAAGGGAAGCTAACTCCCCGCTGAGCATGGACCCTGAAGTGGGACTCAATCCCATGACCATGAGATCACAACCTGAGCCAAAATGAAGAGTCGGACACTTAACCAACTCAGCCACCCAGGCGTCTCTGAAAGATTTTATTCTTAAATTATCTTTATACCCGGGATGCCTGGGTGGCTCAGATGGCTAAGTGTCTGCCTTTGGCTCAGGTCATGATCTCAGGGTCCTGGGATCGAGTCCTGCATCGGGCTCCCAGCTCAGTGGGGAGTCTGCTTCTCCCTCTCCCTCTGCCTGCTGCTCCCCCTGCTTGTGCTTATTCTTTCTCTATCTCTCTGACAAATAAATAAAATCTTAAAAAAAAAAAGTAATCTTTACACCCAACGTGGGGCTTGAACTCACCATCCGAGTTCGAGTATCATGCTCTATCGACTGAGCCAGCCAGACGCCCCCAGGATTTTAATTTGGTTCTATACTTTTGGGTCATGAGGCTTGGCATTTCATGGCATTTTCTAATTGTAGGACTACTACTATTTACTATTTGTAAATATCTAGTAAAGTTAAGTGGGAATAAATAATTCTTTGAGTGCTAAATCCTCAAAGCTGTACTCACTGACAATTCAGGAAACCATTTACAGGATGGTTGCTTTATATGACTATAAACCTCTGTATTACTAAGTCCTGCCACTTCACAGGACAACTGCTTATAGAAAATAGGGTTGCAGTCATCTCTGTGGATACTTGTGAGCTATTGCTATAATTTAGTAAGATGGTATTTCTAGGTGGAATCAGGAATTGTTCCTGAGACACTCATCAAAGCTGGTTTCCAGACAAATACGGTCGTGTCCTTTCCTAATGGGGGGGGCGGAATCGGACTGGGATGAGACTGTCATTCACTTGAAATCTCCAAGGTCCTTATTACTGCCAAAGTCAGGCTCTCCGGTTCCCAGGGTCTCAGCTCTGTCAGAGAGCCTGCCCATAGTCACCACCTCAGATCCCTTTTGAAATGTGAGGCACCCCAAACCAAACCCAAGTGTGTGATCACTCACCATTCTCTATCCAGTCAGTGCCCTTCATCCTGAGCTCACTGTGATCCACGTACTTTAATAAGAGTCCTAAATGCAGGATAAAGTCAGTGAGGCTGTAGTCTGGCTTTGGCTCTAAGCAGTTGGCAGAATTGGCCTTTTGATAATTAGACAGATTCTAAAAACTTGACTTTCAAGTGCCTTATAGTTAGCTAGAGATAACAGCCCTTTTCTCCAAAGGTCATCTTCATAAAGAACGGGGATACTCAACAACACAGTTTGGGAAAATATAGGATAAAGTGACTGTAGAAATGAAAGGAGTGTTTATACCTACAAATAAGACTGCTGCTCTTCTGATAGGAAGCTTTGCCTTCTTGGAGAACATCAATGTTTGGGCGAGGAGGTTAACTTTCCCCTGGCATTTTTTTCCCTAAGTGGGGAAAAAAGAGTAGAAAGGAGTGAAGTACACCACTGTTTTTGTCAGCCTCACTGTAGTTTCCAGAGCCAGGGACTGCCAGACATTAGACACATAGAATATGGCACTTGAAATAATAACTGCAGTTGCTTAATGAATGTTATGCCACAGTAACAAGTCCCTAGACAAAGTTACACCCTCTGGATACACTGTGCTTACACCCCCTCATGCCCCAGATTGTGCCCATGATGCCTCTAAGTCCACCTCTACTTCCTGTATCTAAGTCTTCTCTGTTCCCTCAGCTCTGCCTTGAGCTCTGCCTCCCTATCGGCTCTTCCCAGATTGCTCTTGCCTTCCTGACCTCACTCTGCTCTGAGCATTTCTACAGGTACCCCTCTCTTCACATATCATTTTCCATCTTGAGTTTCTATTTAATTTTCCAGAGGTTTTATCGCCCTTATTGGCTAGCAAGCTCCCTTAGGAAGTTTATATCTTTGCCATGTTTCTGGGTTCTCCACGGCCTGTTGCATATTGGATGCTTACTGGACGAATAAATGTACCTCTCAGTGGCTCTGTTACAATGATAGGCAGCTCAGGGATAGGAAAAGGACCATCAGACTCTATTCCCATAGATCTTATAATGTCACATGGATAATCTCTAATCTTATGCATTGAGAGCACTGAATTTCTGCTGTAAATACTGTCATCAGTGCCTCGGATATAGGTTCGGGCATAGGTCAGAGAGATAATCCTTAGTGGCAAGCCTGACACAATGGTACTGTGCAGGTTCCTAAGCCCGTGAGTCTGATCAGAGGAGCCTGCACTGGATCCTAAACAGGTTTCACAAATGGAAGACTCCTGGGAATAGTCAGTCCTCGTGTCTTTGTAGTAGGATCCCAGCAGTCCTAGAGTCAGATGTCCAGAAAACCATGGATGGGCCCCCGGAAGATGCCCTGGCTCCAGCCTGCCCGTGAGATCGGCCCCAGTAGTCTTTGTCAAGTTTGTGACAAGAAGGATGTCATCTGGGTCCTAGCAGAGCCAGTGGCATGCTGTCATCATGCTCCATGGCCTACAACAGCATGGCAACCCTTGCTTGGGGCTCCCTAAACATGCTCTAATGGAGGGTAAAACAATCCACTATATCCAAGAAAAGGATGAGAGATCATTGTAAAGGCAATACACAACTCCAGTTTAATTCACTCCAGGGGGGGTTTTTTGAGCACATACAATTATCAGCCTGACCCCATAGCCTCTGACCCAGGTTAGGGGGGGCTCCCAAGAATTCAAAAGAGAGTCTTTTATATGAGGAAAGGTGGTAATAGAAAGTGCACTCTGTGACTCAGTTGGGAGGAAACTAGAGAAATAGATTCCCAATACAAGACAGTTCATGGATATCAGCTGCTGATGTGGAAAGGGATGGGAAATGTTTCCTTTATGTCGTTTTCCTCCATTAAAAACTACATCAGAAAAAATAAGTCTGCTAGCATATAAAAAGGAGTGAACAAGCCATTATTGCTCACATACAAAGAATCTGCAGACTGCTCCAGCTTCACGAGGGCTGATGTACCAGGGATCTTTGCAGTACACTTCTTGGGGCAGCTTCCACTTCAGGAACTGGGCACATATGGTTAGGACTTGCCTGCTCTCCTGTGAAAAGGATTATCAAAGATCAGCATCTTCAAACATTTTTTAGCTGAGGTAACCTTTCTTCAAATAAAACTGGCTAATGTGAGGGCAGGGATGGAAAGGAACCAGAGACCTACCCTCCTTCAATTTCCTCAAACAGTCCCCCTAGCGGGGGCCATGAACCCTACAGAGTTGTGGGGAGGATGTAGAAGCCTCTGCTCTAAGACAAAAGCGAGAGCTCTCTGGTGTAATACCAGAGCAGGGATTGGCGCTGGGTTCCTGCTACCCCATGCGCGAGAGATAGGGCTCCTCCGCCCGCTTGCTGCTCCGTGTCATTCTTCTGTCACAGTACACAGGGAAGCGTAGCTTCTTTTCTCACAGTCCTTGTGCAATCTCTGGCTTGGAAGGAATTCTGGACAGTACTGATCCCCTCCTGATCCAGATGCTTGAGCAAAATTTAGCAAGTGGGCTTCTTCTCTATTCACAGCTCTCAGAATGCCTCCCATGTACCACACACCACCTCTTATGAGTATTTTCAAGCAAGTTTCTTGTCCCAGGTCCACTAGATTTGGGCCATTAAAATTCCTTTGGGGACTGATGGGAATACAAGCTAGTTCAGTTACTTTTATTATTTGTAAATATCTAGTAAAGTTAAAGATACCCAGATATTCTACTTCTGGGTTTATGCTCTCAAGAAACTCTCACACAGGTACACAAAGAAATACGTAAAAGAATGCTCACTGCAGCACTGTAATAATGAAAAACTGGAGACAATCTAAATGTCCAAGAATAGGAGCACTGGAGAAATGTGAGGATATCTTCAAGGTGGAATTCTATATAGCAGTGAGAATAAATGAACTGGAGCCCACAATGTGGGCAAATCTTACAATTTTTTTTAAGCGAAAAAGAGCAAGTTGCTAAGAGATTTATAAATGATACAACATACAAAGTTTTTTTCTACATGTAACATTTTAGAACATGAAAAAAATATTACCACAGAAGTGATAACAATAAAATTCAGGATGATAGTTCTCGGGGGAATTCAACTGGGGATAGGTGCATGATTTATTCCTGTTTTATTCCTTACAATGGGTGGTAGACTATGTTCTCTGTGTTAGTGATTCCTAACCTGTTTAATATTGGATTTCACCTCTCTGCTTAGGCTACCCTCTGAAGAGCCTTGAAGACAAGGCTAGGGATCGTTCAAGGTTTGAAAGAAAGTAAGCCCAGAGCCTTGCCTGCTCTATGCCTTGCCTGATTACCAAGGGCTGAGAGGGGTTGGCTGGGGGCGGGGGGCGGGAGGTGAGATGGGGATCAATGCATCCACATATCCGTGACTCCTACAGGGCAAACTTTTCTTTTTTTTGGTTGGAAAGCTCTACTCTATACTTTATTGGGGTCTGAAATAGTTCATATTTCTTTTTTTAAAAAATATTTTTATTTATTTATTTGAGAGAGTGATCAAGCGAGAGAGAGAGAGAGAGAGCATGAGCAAGGGAGGAACAGAGGGAGAGAGAGGAGCAGACTCCCTGCTGAGCAGGGAGCCTGACACGGGGCTTGATCCCAGGACTCGGGGATCATGACCTGAACCAAAGGCAGATGCCCAACTGACTGAGGCACCCAGGCAACCCTGAAATATTCCATATTTCTGGTTACAAGACCATAATATTTCCCCCAGATTAAGGTACCAGGGCCCACCATAATCTTAAGTATTGTTTTTGATCCTGCTTTTATTTCTGTAATGGGGAGCATGGGTAGGGGAAAGCTCCAGCATTTTCCCAGAATCCTTGCAGCCTAAATACACCTCTGGACTGTTGTAACTGGTGGTCATAGTTAGCACATTGGAATGGACAGGCTCCTGAGGTATGAGACAGTACTAAAGATGATGACATCCTACCCACAGCTCTATGGCAGAAACTCTTGGAAGATTAAGGAGATGTAGAGGCTTCTCTAGATTGTCAGAGAAGCTACTGTTTCTGACTTAGCCTCAGCACAAGTCTGTTTGTCTAAAGGCCAGAAGGCAGTTCTTGAATGAAAGAAAAAGATAATGGAATATTGTCATTGTCAACAAAAAAAGAGTTTGTTGAATTTGGCACTGTATTTAGGCTCTGTGCTAGGCTAAATATTGGGGTGGGCTACAAAAAGAAATAAGGAGTAAGATTTTTCACACAATTCACTTAGGCAAAATACTTGAAATGTAGCCTGTGCTGTAGGAAATGGTGAATAAAGTCCCTGCCCTCAAAGATGGAATGCTTATTTGCAGATTTGGCTCTGGATTAGAAGTTATTCAGGCATGAAAGCCGTTAACAGAGGCATTACCTCAGCTACTGTATCATTTTCATCCTGAGAATACAGAAGTAGTGGGACCAGGCTGTCCAGGACTTGATTCTCTACACTCTTCTTATCTATGTATTTCACAGACTTTATGGAGGCTCCAAAGAGGGTCATGGAGAAACGATGAACATCAGGTCTCACCTACAAAGGGAGTATCCAAAGGGAAGCAAGTCACTGAAAGTGTTCATGCTTAACTTATAAGGGCTAGATTGGTTGAAACGCCAGTCCTAACATGAGGCTATTTAGCTATAGGTAGCTGAGGGCAAGAAGCCAAATATATATAAAGATAGCATGACCTGCTGCTTTGTAGTACTGGTTGTTCTCTTACTCTGCAAATGAGAAATGTAGTCAGAACAGCTTGTGCCTGATACTAGTATTAACTATTTACATAAGCTGTTTTGCTGAAATTCAGAATCCCAGCCTTGCCATGCTTGACTCTTCTGAGGACATGGTTCATTGTGCTCCATGTATTTTTTTTTTAACCTTTGGGATTTGGAATGGGGACATATGTATAGTCCACCACCTTGACCCAGTCCTGATTGTTCCTTGAAAGACATCTTTTCTTATACAAACTCCTTCCCCAACCCATGATCAGGGTGGTACCCTCGCAAGTCTCTACATCTCAGTTTTTTTTTAATCTGAAAAACAGTAACACCAGTCCTACTAACATCACGTTACCTTGAAGGGTCTTAAGAGAGGAGATTTCAAAGTGCTGTGAACATAAAAAGAACTATATAAAATAGAGTATATTTATTACTATCCCAATTTCTATTTGCTGTTATGCCAGTTGCCCTCCCCTAGGAAAGTCTCTCCTCTCTCATTGTCTTACATCACCAAACAGGGAGAGCAGGGTCTTCATCATGGCTGTCAGGGTGGTGAAATCCATTGTCCCAACGAGTTGCAAGAGTATCTGGATGGCCAACAAAAGAATCTTCTCGTCGGTTTCACGTAAGAGGTCTAAGATGCACGGCAACAGGCTCTTGATGCCTTCCCTCTGTGTGCCCAAAGGGAGTGCACCATCACCCTGACAGCACTTCATCTGGTACCAAAGTAGGGCTTCCCAACTTTACTCAGTACCTGGTGCTTGTTGAATGTTTGGTAGCGCTGGCCAGTTGAGAACAGAGAAGTAAAGAAGGCATGACTGCCCTCTCAGTATTGGCAGGGCTGATACGTAGATAGGGGGGCAGGGGTGTTGTAAGTTGCCTCATAAGGGCAGAAGTGGGACCAGGTGGGACGGTCCAGTAACAGAGACTTAAGATTAATGTAAGAAATTGCTTACAATGAAAGAAAGTGGAATGGCTAGCTCAGGTCATAGTGAGTTCTCCAACATGGAATGTATCCAGAGGCAGTAAGATTCCTTGCAGGAATTCAAGCAGAAATGGACTGAGGACACTTAAGTGTCCTTCCCATTCTGAATTAGGATTCTATTCTTCTGAAACTCCCAAAAGGAAGCAATCTCAGAGTTTTAAAGTTTAAAACATACATGTAAAAAGTAAATAGAATAAGGCAACAAGTATTCGTGTATCCAAACAACCAGAATTAACATGCTAGCATCTGTCATCTTTGTTTCAGATATATATACATATTTAAATATTTAAAAAAACAGAACTCAAGTGATAAAATTGAAGGCCCAGGGATTGATCTTTCCTTCTGACCCAGGCCTAGTTTCTAGCTAGGCCTACAGAAAATGAGCTCTCTTTCAACATGAATGTCAGTAATCCTTGTTTAGATGATACACATCTTGGGAGAAGATATCATGGTCTATCCAATGTACTCCTTAGGGCAACATGGTACAAGACATAAAAGGACACCCGAATGTCACCCAGGCTGTGATGGGAGGGTACCTCCTTACACAAATTATAGGTTTCAAATATTATGAATATATGTGACTTGGACTTATTTCTTATGATTTCATGAAATACTTAAGTCAGTACTTACATATTTCCTAGGCATAAAATTTAAAAGGTACAAAGGGATGTATTCCTACTTGCTCCCATTCCCAGGCTACCCAATTTCCTTGTTGGCTGTTACCAGTTTCTTGGGTATCTTTCTGGGGTATGTTTGATTTGTGACTTACGAATCAGTGGTCTGGGGGCCCCTCCTACCATCTCCTGGTGTTTGATAAGATAGTGCAGTCCCTTCAGGGCAAGAAATTTGAAGACACTATTTTCATGATGTAGCCAGTCTTTCAAGCGGACAACAGAGTATATGCTGGGCAGTCTCCTAGCCACTGGACTCTGGAGAAGCTGAAAGAACCCAGAAATCAGCCAAAGAAGTTACCTTTAAGCCCTTTTTCATGAGGGGAGCCACCTTCCCACCAACTCCAAAATGTGTATTTTTCCTTTGAAACCTCTACTAGGTTACAGGGTGATGCTTACACAGTAGGTATCTAAGGAATGCCGAATAATGAATATATGGCAAGAAGAATGTCAGTAGGCTTGAATCTGAAACTATTTCTGTCCCACATCTGAAGTGGATCCTGGCCTGCCATGAAGTTGGACAGAGCCCAGGAAGGCAGGTACTGCAGCTTTACAGGCTTCCTGAATCCAGCTTCTAACGAATCTTACCTCCACGAAAAATCCTGCAGATGTGAGTTTATGTTTATCATTCCCTCGGTTAAGAAGAGGGACCAACAAGTACATGACTTTATGTGCAAGGAGGTGATTTCTTTCCAGCAACGCACTGCAAAACACAACACCCAACAGGACACCTCTTAGAAATGCTCCTATCCAGACTGCATTCTTCCCAGGGCTGGGGGCCCTCCAAGGATTTTGCCCAGCTTTAGGTGCATAGGATGGTACGGCAGTGGCAGGACCTCTGAAAATCTGCCTGGCATTATGGGTATTTCCCTAACCTGTGATGTTATCCAACCTTGGTTGCTGTTTTAACTAGAAGGGAGAAAAATACCTAAAGCAATGCTGATTTAGAGCATGGCAAGGAAGTCTTACTTGGCAAGGAGAGATACTCCCTGAAGATGGCACTCTTTTCCTTCCAGGAGGGTCCATCCTTTATTCTTTTCCATGATGTTGAATTCCTGCCAGCACAATGTTCTGAGGAGGAGAGTCTTTGTAGACTGTATGGCGAAGCTAAATCAAACCAAACCAGTACAAGTGAATAGAACAGGTCCCTTCAACTTATCAGCACACAATCACCCTGCTCTCTCACTGAGGAAGGCATGCATTAATAGCTCTGGATGGTACTTCTCTTCTTTCTAGATTTCCCCAAAGACTCTTAATGTTCTAATAACTTGAAAGGCCCTTCACACAAATTTTTAGCGTAAAGAAATCTAACTAGGTTTTGTTTCCCTGGGAGTGTGAAAAGAAATCTATGATAAAACAAATGATATGGGATGCTAAACCCATACCACTTTTTAAAAAAAGCATTATTTAGATACAATTTATACCCCCCTCAAAAAATTTACCCACACTGCTTTTTACTTTTTTCTATTTTATTTTTTTTTAAAGTGGGCTCCACGCCATGATGAGTTCAATGAGGGGCTTGAACTCATGACCTGAGATCAAGAGTCAGATGCTTAATTGACTGAGCCACGCAGGTGTCCCCCACATTGTTTTTTAAACTACCCCCACAACTGGGGCCAGTAGAGCATGTGACTCTTGATCTCCAGTTCAGGAGTTCGAGCCCCACATTGGGTGGAGAGATTACTTAAAAAAATAAAATAAACTATCTCTATTACTTGCTGAACTAGTATGCTTGATATAACACCAGAGAATCCTAGAACTAGAGGGTCCTTGGAGAATACCTAGCCTGACCTAATTTACAGATAGGGAAACCAAGGCACAGAACAACAGGAAGATTTGCCCAAGGTATGTAACTTGTTAAGTGAATGAGAATTAGAACTCAGTTCTCCTGACTTTTAGTCAGGTGTTCTTTTTTTTTTAATTTTTTTTAATTTCTTTTTTATTTTTTAAGATTTTATTTATTTATTTGAGAGACAGAATGAGATAGAGAGAGAGCATGAGAGGGGGGAGGGTCCGAGGGAGAAGCAGACTCCCTGCTAAGCAGGGAGTCCGATGCGGGACTCGATCCCAGGACTCCAGGATCATGACCTGAGCCGAAGGCAGTCGCTTAACCAACTGAGCCACTCAGGTGCCCTCTTTTTTTTTTTTTTTAAAGATTTTATTTATTTGATAGAGAGAGAGACATAGCGAGAGCAGGAACACAAGCGGGGGAGTGGGAGAGGGAGAAGCAGGCTTCCCGCTGAGCAGGGAGCCCAATGCAGGGCTTGATCCCAGGATCCTGGGATCATGACCTGAGCCGAAGGCAGACACTCAACGACTGAGCCACCCAGGCACCTCTACTCAGGTGTTCTTAAATAATCCACATTCTTTCCTTCTGAAAGAAAGTCATGTGCCACCATGACACTAATAAATTTCTAATGAGTTTATCTTGGCACCAATAAAACAACCAGACAACCAACCAGGGAGAGCCCAGAATGATTCCTGGGCATTTCATCCTGACGTCCCATGATAGCAGACTGTAAGCTCTCCCATGGTTGGAACCACATCTTGGCTATCCATGTGTCTACCACAGCACCTAGAGCTTAGTGTTAGTTAAGGTCAATGAAATCACAACAGGCATTACCACAAAGGGGTGACCTCTGAAGACATTTCCTGTTCTGTGTACAGGCCACTTGGGATGGCGACATCAGACATGGTGAGACCGATGCTGTGGTGTATCTGGACGAGCAGTGTCATGAGAAGCTGAGGAAAGAGTCTGAATGTAGCTGCTTGGAGCCTGTTTCCCACAAACACCTCATAAAGGGCATCTGTTGCCTGCGGGAGAAAAGGCACACCATAGAGCTGAACTCTGGCTAGCACTACTCCTTACTTTTGCTTTACTTCTGCTTGTGCCTGAGCGTTAACTGACTGAGCCACCCAGGCGCCCTGATGTGATATTTTTAATATATAAACTCTTTTTATATATCAGCAAGAAAAAAATGTAAAGGCTACTCAAAGTGGGGGCCACACACCAGCAGCACCGCATCATCTGAGAGCGGGTTAGAAATGGAGAAACTCAAGCCCCACCCCAGACCTGCTGCATCAGAATCTGCATTTCAGTAAGATACTGACTGCGGCTTGTGTGCATATTAAATATGAGAAGCTCTGGTGTACAGAACATGAGCAGACAAGTCACAAAATATAATGGCCAATTAAAAAACATATACAAGTGTTCAATCTCACCAATAACAATAATACAATTAAAATAATATTCCTTTTTCACCTATCAGCTAGGCAGCAATGAAAAGGCTAGGAATGCTCAATGTGGTAAGGCAGTAGGTAAATGGGCATTCTCATATATGACTGGGAGAAGGCAATGTTTTAGAGGACCACCTGGGAATTCTCAGAAGTTTAAATAAGTCTACCCCTTGAGCTAGAAATTCCCCTACAATGGCCTTTATCAAAAAAAAATAATTAGGGGGTGACTGGGTGGCTCATTTGGTTAAGCATGGGGGGGTTTTTTAAAAAAAAGATTTATTATTTATTTATTTTAGAGAGAGAGAGCATGGCAGGGGGGGCAGAGGGACAAGGAAGGGAGAGTCTTAAGGAGACGCCACACTGAGTGGGGAGCCCAGGGTAGGGCTCGATCTTACAACCTGAGTCGAAACCAAGAGTCAGGTGCTTAACTGACTGTGCCACCCAGGCGCTCCAAGCATCCAACTCTTGATCTCAGATCAGGTCTTGATCTCAGGGTTGTGAGCTCAAGCCCCACATTAGGCCCCACACTGCGTGTGGAGACTAATCAAAAAAGTAATAATAATTGGGTATGTATAACAACATTTACATATGCATGATTAAGTTTACTGTAGCACTGTTTTAATGGCGAAAGTTCGGAAATTGTCAAAATGTTCACTAAGAGGAAACTTGGAAATGAAATAAAAGGTTCTGTACCATGTTACATATCTATTTTTAAGAAGGTAATAAAAAATAAATTACTATGCAGCCATGAAAAGGATAACAGATAGTCTTATATTTTGACATGGAAAGTAGTTCATATATTGTTAAAAAAGCAGGTCATCAAGCAGTATGTGTAATTTGATTCTACTAATATATACATACAATTTTATAGGCTAACATGATTAAATATATACCTTTATCTGACCTAACTCCTAAAACTAAGATAACATTATAGGGATTTAAAAAAAAAAGGTATAAATCCACAAGAACAGAGGGAATAGAAGAGGAGACAATGGCAGATTAGAGATGTCAGAATAATTTCAGAAGCTAAAGAAAACCTATATAATAACTTAGGTCAGGGAAAGCTGAACCATAAGCTGGTAGGGAAGAAAATAAAATAAAAAGTATATATTAATAGTGGGGGAGGCTGTGCATGTAGGGGACAGAGAGTAGAAACTTTGTACTTTCTGCTCAGTTTTCTTGTAAACTTAAAACTGCTCTAAAAAAGTCTACTTAAAAGGAAAAAATGGGGAAAAAAAGTATACCAAATAAATACATACACAAAAAATTTATATATGTATAAACCCTTGTAGAAGGTTCATTTTTAGGGAGATGATACAGCTAGGCTAAGAATGGTCTTTAGATTTTTGGAAGATTGTTTTTTTAAAAAAAATCCAAAGAATATGTTATGGAGACTATATGGGGCCTGAAAACCTAAAATATTTGCCTTCTGGTCCTTTACAGAAAGTTTGCCAACCTCTACTCAAGGAGGACCTTTTCTTTCTGTGTTATATTCTTCTGTATTATTTGACTTTTCTCTTTATGAGTTGTGTATTACTCTTTAACTATGATGACTATTTTATTTTATTTTGTTTTATTTTAAAGTAGGCTCCATGCCCGAGGTGGAACCCAGTGTGGGGCTTGAACTCACAACCCTGAGATCAAGAGCCAGACAGTTAACCAACTGAGCCACCCAGGTATCCCAGATGATACATATATTTTAAAGGATAAGGGAATATTTGGGACACCTGGGTGGCTCAGTCATTAAGCATCTGCCTTCGGCTCAGGTCATGGTCCCAGGGTCCTGGGATCAAGCCCCACATCGGGCTCCCTGCTCCGTGGGAAGCCTGCTTCTCCCTCTCCCACTGCCCCTGGTTATGTTCCCTCTCTCGCTGTGTCTCTCTCTGTCAAATAAATAAATAAAATTAAAAAAAAAAGTTATGATAAGGGAATATTTAACCACATTGATTAAACCAAACTTCATTAAACTACTGATACCTTCACTCTCCCGAGCCCCGTCCATGTCAATCCCTTGATAGAGACATTATAGATTTATAAATGGATGACAGAAGCAAACTTTGAGAGGGATGAAGAGAGACACTCTCCAGATGGAGTGTTGGACCAGTCATCCCAAGACAGGGAGCATGTTGCGCTGAAGTTGGGAGGGGCAAAGCTCAATGGCTTACAGCAACAGCCACATAGGCCATCTTCTCTTGGGTGGGCGCATTATGGCATTTCTGCAGCTTCCTCAGAAGTCTCCACAGAATCCAGGTGGTGCTGGGCAGTTCTACCTCCAGAGTTCTCCACAACTCAGCCAGATGCCTAGAAATCCCAAAGAATAGGAGGGTTCAGGAGTATGGCTTATCCTAAGCCCACCACGACCACAACCTTCTTAGAATCTGGAATCCAATCTAGAAGTGGTTTTCCTTTCTGCTCAGTTTTTTTGGGTATCAAAAGACTATCTGACTTCATTACAGTTACTCTTAGGGTTGTCGTTTGTTTTTTTAAGATTTTATTTATTTGTCGGGGGTGGGGGCACCTGGGTGGCTCAGCAGTTGAGCATCTGCCTTTGGCTCGGGTCATGATCCCAGTGTCCTGGGATCGAGCCTCATGTCTGGCTCCCCACTCAGTGGGGAGTCTGTGTCTCCGTCTGCTCTGGCCCTGCTTGTGCCCTCTCACTCTCTCTCTCTTTCCCTCTCTCTCAAATAAATGAATGAATGAATAAATAAAATCTTTAAAAAAGAGAGAGAGAGAAAGAGAGAGAGTGTGAACAACCATGGGGAATGGCAGGCAGAGGGAGAAGCAGGCTCCCTGCTGAGCAAGGAGCCTGATGTGGGACTCAATCCCAGGACCCTGGGATCATGATCTGAGCTAAAGACGCTTAACCGACTGAGCCACTGAGTGGCTGACTGAGGCTGCCCGAGGCATCCCACTCTCAGGGTTTTATAATCTCAAGTTCCTAGGCCTCATCATGGACTTCAGGACAAACTGGTCCTAATTCAACTTTTCAGTCTCCCAACTTCCCTGTCACATACATACCTGTGCTCTGGCTCCCCCACACCATTCACCTTTACAAACTAACAATGGACTTTGACAGCGCTACCTCTGCTCATCTCATTTCCTTAAACTGGAAGGCCCTTTCCAAAACTCTCCCCTGTCCATCAAAACCTTCCAGGTCCAACTCCAATGTCATCTCTTCTTTTTTTTTTTTGTGGCTTTTTTTCCATGTCTCACACGAGGGTTCTCAGAACACTTTCAAAATTTTTTTTTAATTTTATTTTTTTCAAAATTTCTCCTTTATAGAGGTTGCCTCAATCTTACATGTGCTATTTTCAGTTCTCTGAATGTGTCTTATCTGTTCCCTCTGAAGGCAGGGGTTATGCCTGGCTTTTCTTCCATGAATCCCTCAAGGTCTAGCACAATGCCAGGCCCACAGAAGGCATTCAAGGTAGATTTATTCAACCCAGTCTGTGGTCCTCAAATTTTGGACAAGTCCAGGCCCAGAAATAAAGCTTTGATTCTCTTTAGAAAAGATCTCTTCTTTCTCTCTCTCTCTTTTTCAAGATTTTATTTGACAGAGAGACAGAGAGACAGAGAGACAGTGGGCACACAGCAGGGGGAGCTGCAGAGGGAGAGGGAAAAGCAGGCTCTCCGCTGAGCAGAGAGCCCGATGTGGGGCTCGATCCCAGGACTCTGGGATCATGACCTGAGCCAAAGGTAGATGCTTAACCAAATGAGCCACCCAGGTGCCCAGAAGAGATCTCTTCTTGAAGAAAGACAGTGTGTAATAACTTTTTTCTATTGCACACACACACACACACACACAGTCATATATATATATGTCATACACACACACACACACACACACACACACACACACACACACAAAGAGTATATAAACACTGTAAAGGAGCATTATGGGGGTGGGGGGAAGATTGGGAGTTACTCATGGTTTTACTCCATTGTCTTATTTTCGGAATCTACCTAGGTATCTTTGTGTGCTAGAGCAAGTGTGGTCTTCCAGTTGTCTATGTATCAGAATCACTCTAAAAATTGAGAGGCTTAAGAACTATTCCAACATTTCACTCCCTACTCTGATAATTCTAATCTGTGAATAAAACGAAGTAAGAAGGTCCTAAAGAGAAGGTCATTAAGGCAATGTGAAAGGCTGAAAAGTCTCATAGCTGGTGAAGTGGACAATTTTTTTTGAACATTCATTCTTGGGATGAAATTAAGAAATTCCTATACTTACTTATCCTTGTTTTTTTTCCTCTCTGAATTCCTGAGGGAGTAAATGAAGTAATTTGAAAAGCTATTTATTGTAAAAGAAGTGTTTCAAAAATACTTTTGGTCTGCTGCATAGTTGTAAGTGTGCTGGGAATGCATCTGAATTAGGAAAACACACGTTAGCCTATAAGGCAATGGTTTAGATATTTTAGTGTGAAAAAAATCATCCGGAGAGTTTGCTAAAAATATGGGACAGGTTTCGCCTCCAGTGATACTGATCCCGTAGTTGTGACACGGTTTTTGTTTGCCCATCATCCCTTTGGGAATGGGTATTCATCAAGCTGTTTCATACCTTCCTTGTGTTTCGTTTTGCCATTCCTTCTGTCTGAAATGCCTTTTCCACTGCCCTGTCCCACCTTCTACTTGGCTAATTTACGCTAAACACTCAGCTTGGGGCAGCCCTTCTTTTAGAAATTCTTCCCCAATCTTTCATCTAGTTAAGTCACCTCCTATGAGCTTCCACAGAACTCTCTTATTTTGCTTTGGGATCCTGTTATTAGTCTGTGTCTACTCCCAGACCGTGTGCTGCCTGAGGGCAGGGTCCATGTCCTGTCCCTTATCTCTCCAGGCCAAACAGTACTTTGCACATAGCAGATGCTTTGAACAGACTCCTAAAAACAATCACCCCAATCTGCATGCAAACCAACTAACAGACTTTAGGTGAATGATCAAAAACATAATAAGAATGAAGTTCCCTGACTATGCCATTTTCATTTCTAGCAGATTCCACAATTCTCATATGATCTAAAGCAGTAGGTTCTCAAATTCATCCAAGAGCTAGAACAAATACAAACAATAAAATAATGCTGAAGTTACACTTTAAAAAAACTAAGTATATTTAATATTTTGTACTAAATCATATGTTTCATGAAAGGATCTAGTGTAGATATGCTGAAGCAAGTAGTAAAGATTTAACAATAACATATTAGAGAAATATATAAAAGAATATTCTATTTTATTTTAGTTAATTTATTTTAAAGATTTTATTTTTAGGTAATCTCTGCACCCAACGTGGGGCTTGAACTTACCGCCCTGAGATCAAGAGTCACATGCTCTACCGAGTCAGCCAGGTGCCCCAAAAGAATATTTAAAAAAATAGATATATATTAATTCATTTTTTTCTTTGGATGGGTAAAAATCTTCATTTGATTTAGTGGTAGAGCGTCTTAAGTTCAGCTTTAACCAATCAAAATCAGCAAAAAAAAATCACTAAAAAAAATCAGCACTACACCAAGACACTGTGAGAACCAGTCACTGAGAGTGGTTTTCAAACAGTTTAAAGCTAAGAAATCTTTTCTTCAAATACGATAACTACCCAGAATCACAATATATAAGGCAGACAAAAAGAGATGCCACTCTGGGGCATCTGGTTGGCTCCGTTGGTAGAGCATGCAACTCAATCTTGGGGTCATGAGTTTGAACCCCACGTTTGGCATAGAGCTTACATTAAAAAAAAGAAAAATAAGAGACAGATGACGCTCTGTTTGAAGGGGGTGGGAGCCCAGAACCTTTTCCTAATGCTTCATTGCCTTCCCTAGAAAGGATCTCCTGGAACTTCCAGGGTATCTCCAACTCTGAAAGCCACAAGTCTAAAAAAAAGCATCTTGTTTGTTCCTCTATATGATTTATTCTTATTTATGGGTACATTTTTATTTTCTTTTTTGTATTTATGTTTTTGGCTAAATCTCTCTCAAGTACATCGCAGACATCATATTTACCTCTAAATCACTTCGGTAAATTGATCTCCTAGGAATAAGAACATTTTTCTGTATAACCACATTACCATTTCATACCTAAGAAAGTTACATTAATTCAGTAATCTATTACAGAGTCTATATTTAATATTCCCTGGATTTTCTTTTTATAACTTTTATTTTCATCCAGGATCCAATCAAGCTCACATATTGTATTTGGTTATGTCTCTTTAGTGTCTTTTTATTTAGAATAGTGCATCAGCACATTTTTTATTTCATGTCATTAACTTTTTTGAAGAGTTCAGTCCAGCTGTCTTATAAAATGTTCTTCATTCTGGATTTGTTGGATTGTTTCCTTATATTTATGCATTATATTCTGACTTACATTGCAGGCGTCTGTCTATATCTTATCTCTTCTACAAGAATATCATTAGGTTTTTGAGAGCAGCCACGTTCCACAATACCGGGGGCTGTGTCACACACCCCAGTTTAATTCAGAGGCTGTACCAGGTTCTGTTACCTGTCATATGGTACTGGATGACACAGAAGGTGGCTGATCACTGTATCTGTGTACTTGGGCCTGGAGATAAACAAACTCACAGTATTTATGATTTGTCGTCGGACTCTAGGCTGGCTGATTATGGATAGCCGGGCACAGACAACTCGCATAATTTCTGGCACCTGAAGAAGGAAAACAAATCACTAAGACCTTAATCCTGTGGGACAATGACGGTTACCGAGGATACTGTAGCTATTTCTGAAAGGTCCTAGGGGTGTCAAGAATTTTTAGTATTTAAAAGAGTATTATCAAAAATACTTAAGGGGCACCTGGGTGGGCAGTCGGTTGAGTGTCCCACTCTTGGTTTCAGCTGTGGTTGTGATCTCGTGGGTCCTGATCTCATGGGTTGTAAGAATGAACCCCACATCAGGTTCCGTGGTCAGCCAGAGTCTGCTAAAGATTCTCCCTTTGCCTCTCTTCCCCCACTCTCTCGCTCTCTCTCTCCCTCCTCAAATAAATAAATCTTTTTAAAAAAATATTTTATCTATTTATTTGAGAGAGAGAGAGCAAGACAGCGCACAAGCAAGGGGGAGGGGGCAGAGGGAGAAGCCAGTTCCCCATTGAGCTGGGAGCCTAACATGGGGCTCAATCGCAGGACTCTGGGAACATGACCTGAGCTAAGGCAGACGTTTAACCACCTGAGCCACCCAGGTGCCCCAATAAATAAATCTTTAAAAAAAAACTATTTAAAATAGATCTGTATGTATGTATACATATATATTTTTTTTTAGAAGAACTTACAAGGATATTAATAATGCGACTTTGAATGATGGCATATTTATTTTTTTGCTTACATATTTTTTAATTTCTCCTTGATGACTATATATTGATTTTATAATAAACCAAACTAGTAAAAGTGTTGCAAGGAAGTTGGGATTTTTTTCCACTCTGCTCTGAGAATGCCAGAGGAAACCATACTTGCCTTTCACCCAGAGATGTCTACCATACTCAGGAAACAGGAGCCATTGGGCTTTGTCCATTTTTCTGCTTGACCTACTCTGCCCACTCCCAGACTCATGGCTTAAAGTCTCTGTGGAAATGTCAGCCTCTCAGAGAGGCAGTCCTCAACACCCTTATAATGAAATGGCCCTCCTTATGCCCAGTTGCCAGAAGCTGGTTTAAGCTGGCATGCGATGCAATTCTGGCCAATGAAATAAGGGAAAAAATGTATTAGTGGCTTTTGGGAAACACTTTACTCCCTGATTAAAGGGACAAAAGGAAGGCAACATCTCTCTTCTTTGCTGGATACAGCCTTATTTGCTCATAAAGTCTGAAACTGCTGTGATCACCTTATGACTACATGAACGGGCAACATGGCAGATGGAAAAGCCCCTGCCTCTTTGATAACACTGCTGAGTTGCTGAACCAAGCCTAGAAAATACTTCCAGACTTCTTATTTTAGAAGAAGATAAACCCTTTATTTATTTTTAAAGATTTATTTATTTATTTGAGAGAAAGAGAAAGAAAGAGGTGCATGCACGGGGCTGGGGTAGGGGCAGAGGTGGAGGGGGAGAGAGTCGCAAGCAGACTCCCCGCTGAGTGCAGAGCCTGATGTGGGGCTCCATCTCGTGACCCTGAGATCATGACCTGAGCTGAAACCAAGAGTCAGACGCTTAACCTACTGTGCCACCCAGGCGCCCCAAAGATAAACCCTTTAAATTGTGTGTAAGCTTCTCAGTTGGTCTTTTTTACAGCTGAAAGCACACAACTGATACAATGGCCCATCTCACCATGTTCTCATCACATTATTCTTTTTGCATCTTTGCTATTTTAATAGGTTAAAAAGTAGCTTTTCATCATTTTAAAATTAATTTTTATTTTTATCAAAGTGCAACATGTATCAATTTAAAAAGTCCAGTGGTACTGCAAGGCTCTCTCCTGCCTATTCCCCAGGTATGCTTTCTAGGGACTACTATTTTTATCCCTTTTATCTCTTTCAGTATGTCCTCTCATATTTTTTTTTAAGATTTTATTTATTTATTTGACAGAGTGCACGTGAGTACACAAGCAGGGGGAGCAGGAGAGGGAGAAGCATGCTCCTTGCTGAGCAGGGAGCCCAATGCTGGGCTTGATCCCAGGACCCTGGGATCATGACCTGAGCTGAAGGCAGACACTTAACCAAATGAGCACCCAGGTGCCCCTCCTCTCACATTTCTAAATGATATAATTATATTGTTATTTCTTGCTGTGTCAACTTCAGATATATTTAAATAAAATCTGTTGATTTTAGCTAAGTTGGCCTCCTCCTAGGATTGATTATGGCTTGATTTTTTAAAGTTTGACACCTTTAATTAGCCTGGATGAGGATCTAAATTTGAAGTTACCTAGTTACCTTCTCGTAAGTGCTAATTATATCTTCCCCCAAAACTGTTACCGTTCTGGAAAATATGGGGCACACCTTGGATTTTAAAACTATTCATCCCTAGTTGCACACACAGTGGCTGTTTATTACATGCTTGTTAAATGGAAGTCGACTAACCCATGGACCCTGGGCCCGTTCAGTTGTTACTCTCTGCTAAACAGGACCAGCTGAAGAGACCTCAGCAGCTGCAGGAGGGGAGAGGTTTTGCCAATATTTCAAACCCAGCAAATGGCTACTGAGCTTTTTACCTTCTCAAATCGGGACTCTGCATTTTTCACCAATGTTAGCAGCAATTCTCCTGCTGATTGCTGGGTGCAGGGATGTTTCAGATTTTCCAGGCTATCCAATATAGTCATTACAAACTGGCAGAGCTCATTTGAATTGAGAAAAACTTCGAAGATCTGAAATAATTCAGAGAAGATGAATTTTCTTTTTTTTTTAAGATTTTATTTATTTATTTGACACACAGAGAGAAACAGCTAGAGAGGGAACACAAGCAGGGGGAGTGGGAGAGGGAGAAGCAGGCTCCTGGCTGAGCAGGGAGCCCGATGCGGGGCTCGATCCCAGGACCCTGGGATCCTGACCTGAGCTGGAGGCAGACACTTAACAACTGAGCCACCCAGGCGCCCCGAATATGAATTTGCAAAAGACTTAGTATGACAGAACCCTGAATAAGGGATATTATCTTAATTTTGTTATGTTAATCAGAGAGGCATACAAATATGTACAAGGCTGTTATTTCTGTCTTGTTTACAAAAGTAAAGAACTAGAAGCAACCCAAATGCCAACTAGGGTCTGTGCATGGCTTTTTACAGTTCTGACTTTTAGAAAGAGGTTTCACTACTGAGATCCTCAGAAAGAGTCACACTTTTATAGGAACAGAACTAAAGGAAAGGCCTTAGTGCTATATAGCTCAAAGGGTCCCAGCCATAGCTACAATACCTTGGCTGGAGAAAATATATTAAAAGAATGTTTCATTCTGCTTCTCACTGTACTTGGCAGTGTATAAGGTCCTTCACATGATTATAACAGGTATAATATACTGGGCACTTACTGTATGACAGGCACTAAGCAAAGCATTTTCCATACAATATCTCGTTTAACACTTACAACCCAATTTTTACAGATCCTCTGTACAGATAAAGAAACAGATGCACAGAGAATTTAAACTGCCTGAAACCTTAGACCCTACTTGAGTAAAATTTGTAGGTTTTCTTTTTCCCCCCATCCCCTAACAGAATGCTGGGTATCTAGTAGATGCTTAAATATTTGTTGAATAATGAATACATATATTAATTAAAAAGTGTATGGTTTGTTGGATCAACTACCAGCCTCTAAAAGCTTTTTTTGTTTTGCTTGTTTGTTTGTTTGTTTTTTAGCAGTTCCTTTTTGGACAAGAGTTTATACTTTCAAGAGGCTAGCTAAGGTTAGGAGAGCAATCAATAGGAGCAGAGCTTGTCTGAAGAGATACTCAAACAGTGATACTGGGCCCACTGACAGATTGATCTAAACCATTACAGTACTAGAGCAAGGTGTACAAGAGTCACAACCATGGTGCCTTGTCTCCAAACTATAGAATGTTTAGGGAGCAAATTCTCTGGGCAATCTTATATGTTTAGTTTTATAAGAAATTACAAGAACTTTTCCCAAAGCGGTTTTACTAATTTACATTCTCACGACAAAATGTATGAGACTTCCACTGATTTCCCATCCTCTCCAGCATTTCAAGTTGTCTTTATTTTAGTCATTCTGATTACCTGGGCAATTTTGAAGGGACAACTGTAGAACTGTTTAATACTGTAGAGTTCTAGGAGTTCTTGACACTTTTTCATTGCTCTTCTCAAGCTTGGGTGATTTTTCTTGTCATAGCTGGTATCTGAGAAGAAAACATGAAATATTATTACTTTCTGGCTTATTTCTTTTTTCTTGATTTTGCAAGTCTGGTCAATTCCAAGGTTGAAGTGAATCCTAAGATCTCATTCCTCTTTTTTTTCTTACTTGGATAAAAATGCCTGGGGGATGGAGTGTGTGTTAATCTGAAGGCTGATTTTTTTCCCCTCTGTTGTCAGACAACATATTAAAAAGGCTGAAAGAAAAAGAAAAGCGCTTTTTGTAAGAACAGAACTTTTGAGTGATTTGGAAGTATAACCATGCCAAACCATTCTGCCACTGGTGAGGACTTTTGAGGGGTTTCGTTATGAAGCTTAGGTCCCCATTAAATCATACAGTTTTGCAGTGTCTGATAATTCCGATGTCAGAACTCTTTCTATGTCTAGTTTTGCTGATTAATGAGTCTGCCAATACTCCCTCACAGTGCTTTGTTTTCATGTTGCGTTGTGACTTATGTTTGTTGGAAATTTATTTATGGGAAGTCTTTGAGTGCTTGGTTGAGGATACTCTCTCTCCAACTGGAAAATAAACCTGGTGGAAGGGACTTCGTCTTTCTTGTTCACCAAGATACCCCTAGGACAGTAAGTGCTTCATAAATATTTTTTGAATGAATCATCAGTTGTATTTCCTTGGCTATATGTCTTGGTAGACAGTCCTCATACTCAGAGCTGCCCAGAGATGCGATGGCCATTTTGGGAAGCACAGTGCTCCCTTGGGATGAAGAAGCCCAGGCAGGGCAACTACTTGGTGGGGCTAGATTAGACGGAGACGCAAATGCTGGCGGGACACTGGGCTAGATATCTTCTAAAGTCTCTCTTACGGGCGCCTGGGTGGCTCAGATGGTTGGGTGTCTGCCTTTGGCTCAGGTCATGATCCTAGAGTCCTGGGATCAAGTCCCGCATCGGGCTCCCTGCTCCTTGGGAGCCTGCTTCTCCCTCTGCCTTTCTCTCTCTTTGCCTCTCTGTCTCTCATGAATAAATAAATAAAAATCTTAAAAAAAAAAAAGTCTCTCTTACGTGGGGCGGCGGGGGGGCAATGGTTCATTCTTTGACCACAGTGGCCCTCTTTCTATTTTTCAAACTCAAGTTCATACCTCCTTCTCCCTCTGCTCAATATGCTCTTCTTACATCTTTACCTGGCTAATGTTTATTTTTCAGGTTATCTTCAGAGAGGCTTTTTCTGAACCCCACAACTAGATGGGATTCTTCCTCATGGCCCCTGCAATTCCCCTTTAGCACTTATCTTTGTTTATAATAACAGAGTTATTTGCTGATTCTTTGATTGTTTGATTCCCCCACTAGACTACATGTTATGTAAGGATTGGACCACTTGTGTTCTGGTTACTGTTAGATCCTGAGTAAGCACTCAGAAAACATTTATGAGATAAATAAATAAATGAAGGCCCAAATGATGGCAAGAACTTCTTCCACTTCTGACCAAACTAATCACTCCAGTTTGTCCACAGGGCCACATGTTTAGCTGCTCCAACTCCATGGCCATGCAGACGGCCGGCACTGATGGGTGTGATCCAGTGTTCTGATTTTGATTATTAAGTCAGTGTTGCTTCATCTCTGCCTGTGGACTATGTACCTTTCTTTTTATAAACCACTGTAAGAAGTATTTCTAGAAGGTGGGGAATGAGAGCACAAAGAGGGCTGGTGCCTGCACTGTGCTAGAGGATTGACTCAGGGCCTCGCTGCCTTCAGGAGTGCCTTACACTTCAGCCTTAGGGTGATACGTAGCAGGTAGTGCGTGCCCTCTGCGGCCTCCTCCGCTACCTCCTTCACTGGGTCCCCACACAGTAGTGCCATCAGAGCCACCAGGTGCCCAAGCCTTTGGAATCGCAGTGGAAGCTAGTTAGGAAGAAAAAGAAAAAATGCCATTAGCATACAGGTGCATTTTATGCCTTAGATTTGAATTCTTGAGAAGTAATTCCATTTCTACCCCCTACTCAGGAAAGTGCAAGAGTCACATTTAGCCCTTGGATCTCTTTAGGGTAAACATTTAACATGTGTAGATACACTATGTCCATCAGATGGTATTAAATAGGACAAAGTCTAACCTAAATCAGCAATCTGAAAAATGAAAAAGACGTTCATTCTGAAAGGATTAAATTCTACTTAAAAAAAAACCACAAAACACTAATTTCTTGTTTAAACTGATGACCTTCCGGGGTGCCTGGGTGGCTCAGTCATTAAGTGTCTTCCTTCAGCTCAGGTCATGATCCCAGGGTCCTGGGATTGAGCCCCACATCGGGCTCCCTGCCCCGTGGAAAGCCTGCTTCTCCCTCTCCCACTCCCCCTGCTTGTGTTCCTGTTCTCACTGTCTCTCTCTCTGTCAAATAAATAAATAAATAAAATCTTTAAAAAAATAAAAAAATAAAAATAAATTGATGACCTTCCCATATGTTCCAAATGGAACAAAAAAGCTAAAACCTGTTATTTCTATTAACATTAATTGTTTTTAAATCAGGTTTTTCAAATGTTAGAAACAACAGTGCCCTTATCTGCTCAGACCTAAGGAAGAACATTTTAAAGTGGTGTTATATAGGAAACGATTATGTTTCGATTTTGTACTAGTTAAAAAGTGCTAAATTTAACTACATGAAATTGTTGTTTACAGATTAGTGACAAGGGCTGATGATAGGATCCAGTTGGGCTGTGATTTCTAGATGCCCTCAAACATAGAGTACTTCTAAACTCAAGTCCAGCCAGAAACTATTTTGCTAACATGCCAGAGTAATCTGTATTTTTATATGTGATTGCTACTTTTATAGACGTGTTTTAAAATAAAACACATTTTTATAAAAATGAAAAATAAATAGGGGCACCTGGGTAGCTCAGTCAGTTAAGTGTCTGCCTTCCACTCAGGTCATGATCCCAGTGTCCTGGGATCAAGCTCCACATAGGACACCCTGCGTAGTGGGGAGCCTGCTTCTCCCTCTCCCTCTGTGCTGCTCCCCCTGCTTGTCCTCTGCCTCTCTGTCAAATAAGTAAACAAATCTTTTAAAAAATGAAAAAAAAAAGATGTTCTTTCTAGTACTGTTTTTAAAGACCACATATTGGAAATAATTGCCCAATAGTAAAGAGAACTATGGTACAATCACTCTATGAATATAACCATTAGGAATCAAGTATCCTAGGAATTTATAAAAAGGTGGGAAAATAAAAAAATCTGCTAAGTGAAAGAGTTGGATGCAAGGTTGAGGTGCACCATTTAATACAATTAAAAAAATTTGTTTATTGGGGCACCTGGGTGGCTCAGTCATTAAGCGTCTGCCTTTGGCTCAGGTCATGATCCCAGAGTCCTGGGATCAAGCCCCGCATCGGGCTCCCTGCTCAGCGGAAAGCCTGCTTCTCCCTCTCCCACTCCCCTTGCTTGTACTCCCTCTCTTGCTGTCTCTCTCTCTCTGTCAAATAAATCTTAAAAAAAAAAAAAATTGTTTATTGATATTTTGCCTTATTATGGAAAAAATATAATTTAAAATAATGAAAAAAGTAAATTAAAAAAGTAAAAAGTAAATCAACAAAGACAAGTTAGAAAATGAAAGTAGCAAAGATAAATGTTATGAATTTGGTTAGCATGTAGAATGCATAATCATTTGCTCAAGGTAGACCACAGAGCTAGGCTCAGAACTTTCTCAGGGCTAATGTGGAGGTACACACTATGTCCCATATAATATGATTCACACTGCCCATAAGATCAGCAGCAAATACCCGTGCAGAGGAAGCACAACTGTTCCTGGGATTCATTGAAGCAAAGAGAAATTTCTTCTGTGGCTCTTTAGAAAAATGGACTGAGAAATTGTGAAGAGCAGCTTGTTTCACCTCTTTACAGTCAACACAGCAACACCTGCACAAAGCTGTGCCACGTCTTCCATTCACTGACATAACCATTCATCCTGTCAAGAGGACCAAACGTCACTTATGAACCGGGAACGGTTATGAGAACGACACTTCTGGCCACAGCACTGTGACTGGCACGGGGGATACAAGCTGTGGACAAAAGACAACATCCCTGGTCATGGAGGTGATATTCTAGTTGGAGCAACACAAAATAGCAAAGGAATAAAACGTATTATGTATTAAATGGTCAAAAACGCTGTGGTGAGAAAAGAATGCACAGAAAAAAGACAGGAATTGCTGTTTTAGAATGATGAGGGAAGACCTCACTAATGTTGAAATGAGGGATGGAGCCACGTAGAGATCTGGGAGACAAGCATTCCAGGCAGAGAGAATAGCAAACAAGCAAAAGAAATAGGAGGTAGATGAGGTAGATGGTATGGCAACTTAAGAGAATATTGTAAGGATTTTAGATTTTTTCTGTGTGAAATGGGAAGCCATTGGAGAGTTCTGAACAGAGAAGGGACATGAGCTGACTCACATTTATTGAATCTACTGTGTGACATATTCTGTGCTAGGCACTGGGGATGTTACAGTGAACAAGACAAGCATAACCACCCATGGAATTTATAATCTCTAAGAGAAAAACAGACAATAAGTCAATAAAGAAACGATCAAACAAGAAAACCTCATCCTAGAAGCCCTAGGAAGGAAAGAGAGTGATGAGACAGAGTTTAAGCATAGATCTATTTGTAAGCAAAGGCCTTTTTGAGGTGGAAGCATTTGAACTAAGCACTAAAGAATGAGGAGGAGTTAGCTATGTGAAGAGTTGGGGAAGGTCATTCCAAGCAGAGGAAGTAGTAAGTGCAAAGGCCATGAGGCAGGAAGAGATTTATATGGTAAGGAATAGAAAGGAGGCCAGTGTCGCTGGAGTACGTCAGGGAGTGCAAGGAGGAAGGCAGGAACTAGATCATACAAGACCTTGTATTCTAGGAACCACTGGAAATCACTGGAGCAAAAGAATGACATGGGTTTCAAGATGATAACTCTGGCCACATGTGGAGAACTAAAAGGAACTAAAGTGCACACTCATGCACAAATGTTCTCAGAAGGAATAAATAAAATTGTGAATACTATCTCTGGATGATAAGAACAACTTAAATCAACAAGAAGTTGATTTAAGAAAAGCTATGGGCCTTCCAGAAAGCTCCAGAAGACTACATCACACAAAATTCTTCCTACTGCTTTCCAGATGTTCACAGACTCCAATGGCACCTAGGTTTAGCACCCTTATATTATCAGTTCTCCCTAGGAAGAAAACTCTAAGGAAGATCTTCAGGGCCTAGAGAGAGATTGTGTATAAGAGGGAGTCATGTGAAACTCTTTAGTCTGCAGCCATCATTAGAGGTGGAAGAATGTAGAAGGAAGAACAATGTGATGACGGAATAATAGGGTAGTCAGTGATGGCTAGAAGTTACTTTTCATTGACTAAAGAGAGAAAAAAGGAAGTAGCATTATTTGAGGGACTGAATTGACTTCTGTAAGGAGGTGTAAAGTTTGATGTACTTCCCAAATGTAGGGATCCGAAGGGGTATGTGCCCCCAATGTTTATAGCAGCAATGTCCACAATAGCCAAACTGTGGAAAGAGCTAAGATGTCCATCGACAGATGAATGGATAAAGAAGATGTGGTATATATACACAATGGAATATTATGCAGCCATCAAAAGGAATGAGATCTTGCCATTTGCAACGACATGCATGGAAATGGAGGGGGTTATGCTGAGTGAAATAAGTCAATCAGAGAAAGACATGTATCATATGACCTCACTGATATGAGGAATTCTTAATCTCAGGAAACAAACTGAGGGTTGCTGGAGTGGTGGGGGGTGGGAGGGATTGGGTGGCTGGGGGTGATAGACATTGGGGAGGGTATGTGCTATGGCGAGTGCTGTGAATTGTGCAAGACTGTTGAATCACAGTTCTGTACCTCTGAAACGGGGGGGGCAATATATGTTAAGAAAAAAAAAAGAAGAAGATAGCAGGAGGGGAAGAATGAAGGGGGGGAAATCAGAGGGGGAGACCAACCATGAGAGACAATGGACTCTGAAAAACAAACTGAGGGTTCTAGAGGGGAGGGGGGTGGGGGGATGGGTTAGCCTGGTGATGGGTATTAAAGAGGGCATGTTCTGCATGGAGCACTGGGTGTTATGCACAAACAATGAATCATGAAAAAAAAAATCCAAAACTAATGATGTAATGTATGGTGATTAACATTACAATAAAAAACTTAAAAAAAAAGTTTGGATGTACTTCCAATGGGAGAAACGAGAAAGTTAGTGGGATGCCATCCTTTTAATAAGCATGACTGTTAGAATATTCATATCAAGGACAAATTCTCCTAAGGAAAATTAGCATTAGGACCTAGAATTCCTACCCCATCAACTTTTCTTCCAATTCCCAGGCCTTATTATGCAGACTGGAGAAATGATGGCTGTGGAGAACAGGAGAAGCTCTAGTGCCTGGAAGATCTACTAGGAAAGAGGAAAGAGATTCACAGATGAAGAAAGGAGTAGATAGAGGAAGGAGGATCTTACTTTTGAGGAACCCCTTTCAGAAGGTATGGGGGAGCTTTCAGAAGAACTGAGAAGTGAGAGAGTGAAAGAGACAAATGAGAGGATTGATTGATTGATTTTTTAAAGATTTTATTTATTTATTTGACAGAGAAAGACACAGCGAGAGAGGGAACACGAGCAGGGGGAGTGGGAGAGGGAGAAGCAGGCTTCCCGCGGAGCAGGGAGCCTGGGGCTCGATCCCAGGACCCAGGGATCATGACCTGAGCCGAAGGCAGATGCTTAACGACTGAGCCACCCAGGCGCCCCCAAATGGGAGGATTTAAAAGAGAAGCCACAGAACCTTTCTCTGTGAGATGCTGGGAGATATTTATTTACTTATTTATTTATTTTTAAAGATTTTATTTATTTGAGACACAGAATGAGAGAGAGAGAGAGAGAGCACATGAGAGGGGGGAGGGTCAGAGGGAGAAGCAGACTCCTCGCTGAGCAGGGAGCCCAATGCGGGACTTGATCCCGGGACTCCAGGATCATGACCTGAGCCGAAGGCAGTCGCTTAACCAACTGAGCCACCCAGGCGCCCGCTGGGAGATATTTAAATTGATTTATTTACATTTGCTGCTGGACTTTATTACTTTAAATATAACACTGCACAGAGTCTAAGTCACTGTGGACCCTCAGATATTTTCAGGTCACATTTATTCCTTCCTTCCTTCATTCAAAAATATTTACTGTATTGTTATGTTCCAGCTCTTGCGTTAAGCAACAGGGATGCAAGATTAATAAACATAGTACCTAGCCTCAAACTGCTCAAATTTTAGAGGGGCAGATATGTGAATAATTCTAAGTGCTATGGTATTACATGGCGCACCAACTGAATCACCAGTTCAGGGTCATACACTGGAGGGGAAATAGGCAGTAATAGGATGGCTTTGGATCCTTCTTCTTGTGTGACTGAAGGGCTGCTTACCTTCAGGCTGAGATGTCTGGATAAGCACTTTAGAACTTGAGCCATGCTGGCTGTGGCCCGTTCCCGCTCATGGTCTTTGGTTGATTGTAACCAGGGGTCCATTTGCTGTGAAAAATAAAGGAAGCCTAAATGGTTTACCAGGAAGATTTGGGATAACACCTTTATTCTGCTTTGAACAAAATGTGGAGAGAGAAGGTTCACAGGTCACTACTATATCGAAAATGTCTTCCTAAATGATAAGCCAGTTTGGGTTGGAAATGAAAGTGGTGGGAAGGCAAATAAGGTATAAAGATTTGGGATCAGGTGGGCTGGCTTCCAAAGACGCTTACTTTCTAGATTTATTTTCCCTTCATCCCACTTTCTTCAATTATTTATCCTATTCTATTCCTTTGGAAGGAAAGAAAATTAATGTCATGCTATTAAAAAACTCTGAGGATGGAGAAATTGCATCTGCCTGTAACAGTCTGGGAGGGATTCCTGGAGAAGATAACATTCACCAGTAGGAGCTTCAAAAAAGGTGACATTTTATGGCCCCATGTGGCCAAAGAAAAAAAAAAAGGTGGGATTTTCAGTAGAAGAAACAACTTGAATTAAGCTGCCAACACAAGAAAGTACAAGGTACAACTGGATAAAGGGGAGAAACCCAATCTGGCTGGAGTATTGATGTACAAATAGAAGAGGAATGAGAAATAATGTTAAGGTCAGTTGTGGCAAAGATAAATGTCCATCTACACTTAGGCACAGATGATTAATAATAGTTTAAAGGGTTATTCCTTTCTGGAATATCTGCATCTTAAAAAGGGGCAAGAGAGTAAGACGCTTGAACTGCAGTGAATGCACTCCAATGAACAAATCCCTAATGATAGAATGGCATACGCTGGAATGGGTACAGGTGGGGACAGGCGGTTATTAATGACCTTGAATCCTGCCTGGTAGGCACCTGCCTATTCACTCACTCATGACCTATTCTCTGGTCACTGACTGAAACCATTCTATGGTAGTAAGCAACAGGAATTTAAGGAATAATAATAGTAACCATTAAACCACTAACTGAAGGCCATTTATTCAATATTCACCATAATTATTACCTCAATTTAAAAGTGAAGAAATAAGACTCTGAGAGATTATATTCTTTGCTGAATTTATAACCCATGAATGGCACAGAGTCAGAATTTGAAGCCAAGTCTGATGCAAAATTGATAGCTGATACTCTCAACTACTTTGCTATTCTTTTTTTAAAGATATATTTATTTATTTTAGAGAGAGAGAGAAGTGTGTGCAAGTGGGGGGAGGGGCAGAGAGAGAGGGAGAGAATCTTAAGCAGACTCCCCACTGAGTGTGGAGCCCAACACAGGGCTTGATCTCACAACCCCAAGATCATGACCTGAGCTGAAACCAAGAGTCGGACACTTAACCAACTCTGCCACCCAGGTGCCCCTATGCTATCTCTTAAAACTTAATCCTTCCACATTTTCTTCTTCCACTTTCGCCAGTTAATAGAAATAGTTTCCCCTTCTCTCTGATATCCTATTTACCTTAAAAATGGTGTCAAGATTTTCCAAATGTGGGTCTTTTACTACCAAACTCTGGAGCATCTCAGAGAATGCTTGAAACGTTTGCCTGTAGAGACACTGAAAAGGCACAGGATCAGTGATGCCCCCACCCCCACCATGAAGTTCCCTAACACTGTACACTTTTTTTTTTGCTTCTACACAGAAGTTTATTTTTTCTTCTTTCCAAGTTTTTATTTAAATTCCTGTTAGTTAGGGGCGCCTGGGTGGCTCAGTCGGTTAAGCGTCTGCCTTTGGCTCAGGTCATGATCTCAGGGTCCTGGGATTGAGCCCCATATCAGGCTCCCTGCTCAGCAGAGAGCCTGCTTCTCCCTCTCCCTCTGCTGCTCCCCTGCTTGTGCTCTCTCTCTCTCTTTCTGTCAAATAAATAAGTAAAATCTTTAAAACAATTAAAAACAAACAAAAAATAAGGTGTTTAAAAAATTCCTGTTAGTTGAGTGTAAAATTACTTCCAGGTGTAGAATTTAGTGATTCATCACTTACATACAACACCTGGGGCTCTATAGTTAAGCATCTGTTTCTTGGTTTTCCTCTCTCTCCCCACCATGTTCATTTGTTTTGTTTCTTAAATTCCACATAAGAGTGAAATCATATGGTATTTGTCTTTCTCTGCCTGGCTTATTTCACTTAGCATAATACTCTCTAGCTCTATCCACATCTTTGCAAATGGGAAGATGTCATCCTTTTTTTATGGCTGAATAATATTCCATTGTGTATATATATGCACCCCATCTTCTTTTTTTTATGTAAGATTTTATTTATTTATTTGACAGAGAGAGAATACAAGCAGGGGGAGCAGGCAGAGGGAGAGGGAAAAGCAGGCTCCCCGCTGAGCAAGGAGCCTGAAGTGGGGCTCGATCCCAGGACTCTGGGATCATGACCTGAGCTGAAGGCAGATGCTTAACGACTGAGCCACCCAGGCGCCCCACACCACATCTTCTTTATCTATTCATCAGTCAACGAACATGTGGGCTCTTCCCATAATTTGGCCATTGATGATAGTGCGGCTATAAACATCAGGTTGCATGTATCCCTTTGATTTAGTTATTTTTGTTTCCTTTGGGTAAATACCTAGTAGTACAATCCCTGGATCATAGGGTAGTTCTATTTTTAACTTTTTTTAAAAGATTTTATTTATTTATTTGAGAGAGAGAGAATGAGAGAGAGAGAGAGAGAGCACAAGAGGGGGGAGGGTCAGAGGGAGAAGCAGACTCCCTGCTGAGCAGGGAGCCCGATGTGGGACTCGATCCCGGGACTCCAGGATCATGAGCTGAGCCGAAGGCAGTCGCTTAACCAACTGAGCCACCCAGGCGCCCTATTTTTAACTTTTTGAGGAACCTCCATACTGTCTTCCAGAGTGGCTGCACTAGTTCGCATTTCCACTAAGTACAATACACACTTTTAAGGCTCTTATCTTGAGATTTTACTCAAAGGCACAGAACCAGTGTAAAAGTACTGGTAGGCAGTTTGTGAGCTGGGGTGAAACAAAATATTCATTTTCTTTTTTTTTTCTTTCAGATTTTATTTTTAAGTAATCTCTACACCCACCGTGGGGCTCAAACTTACAACCCATAGATTAAAGAGTCACATGTGCCACCCACTGAGCCAGCCAGGTGCCCCACAATACATTCATTTTAAATGGACATCTCAGCATTACTGGGAACACAGTTAACTGATTCTAACCACATTTGGGAAATTAGTTAGGGTCATCAAGATAGCTTTAAAATTTGACTTGTGACTCTTTCTGACATCTTGAAACAAAAGGGAATAAAGTCCCCTTTGGAAACTGCTTTACCAACCAGCTCACGAGCCGCAGAAGAAAATCAAGGCCCTTGCATTTCCTCTTCTCTCTGCTTGAAAGCTTCTCCTCCAGAGATATCCAGCTCCTCTTTGCAACTGTCACCTCATCAGGAAGACTTTCCCTGACCACCCTATGTAAAAACCCCCCTGTGCCTCCCAACCACAGTACTCTTTATCGATGTTCAATATTTTTTTAATATTTTTTTGAGAGAGAAAGAGAAAGTGTGCGTGTGAGCAGAGGGAGGGGCAGAGGGAGGCAGAGAGAATATCCATGATGAGCAGAAGCCTGACACAGGGCTGGATCCCAGGACCCTGAGATCATGATCTGAGCCAAAATCAAGAGTCAGATGCTTAACCAACTGAGCCACCCAGGCGCCCCTGTTCTATTTTTTTCATAGCACTTATTACCACCTGATATATTTATCAGCAGTTTTATCTCTACACTAGTATATAAGCTCCCCAGATGAGAGAGTATACCGCTGTATTTCTGTTGCCTCTCATCATGCTTAGCATATGGTAACCCTAAAATCTGCTAAGTATATGAACACTCTCATCTTATTTTAAAGCCAAAAGCAAGGAAAGAAGGAATGAAGGGAACAAGAAAGAAGACAAAATAAAGAGAGGGGGTACCTGGGGGTGGCTCAGTCGGTTAGGCATCTGACTCTTGATTTGGGCTCAGGTCATGATCACAGGGTCATGGGATGGAGCCCCATGTCGGGCTCAGTATACAGTCTGCTTGTCCCTCTTCTTCTGCCCCTCCCCCCGCTTTTGTGCGTGCATGTTCTCTCTCTCAAATAAATAGGTAAAAATCTTAAAAAAAAAAATAAAGAAAGAGGGGCGCCTGGGTGGTGCAGTTGGTTAGACATCTGATTCTTGGTTTCAGCTCAGGTTGTGATCTCAAGGTCATGAGACTGAGCCCCACACTGGGCTCCATGCTCAGTGCAGAGTGGGCTTGAGATTCTCTCTCCCTCTCCCTCTTGTGCTCTCTCTCTCTAAAAGAAAGAAAGGAAGGAAGGAAGGAAGAAAGAAAAGAAAAGAAAAGAAAAAAAATAAAGAGGGGGAAAAAGCTATTTAATTTAACTGCTTATTTTATTCACCAGACTTGGCTGAAATGATTTTTGGCTAGTTCCAAAAAATCAAATGCACTCTCAAAGGGCCATGATCAGCTGACCTATGGATGGCAAGTTATTAAACCAAAGCAGGAGTTACCTCTGTGTTGTAGGACCCACTTGGCATGATTTCCTGCAGCTGGATAAGAGTCGTTACGGAGGGCAGAGTGATTATACTTTTTGTAATAAGACTGAATAAATCAGCTCGATCTTCAGAGCCAAATAGCAAGTGGACACCTTGGTAGCTAAGAAAAGACAGTTTAGGAATAGTAAGCTGGGAAGACTTTGATTTGACAGTGGTAAGCAGGGGTCGAAGTAACCCAGGGGGAATGAGTGGACTAGTTGGTGTATAATTCTGGTGGAAGAGACAAAGGGCATGCTTGTTAGCCTGTTTAGACAAATCTCACAAAAGGCTGGAGGAAGAATTTCAGGGCTCAGAGCCTCCATCCTCGTTCCCTGTCCCTCCCTGTCTTCCCAAGAGGGTACTGGAATGATATCCTTCCAGGCTTTCCTCCAGTTTAACCACGGAGGAAAGCCTGCTATAGTCTAACATGTAAACCATGATTTTCCAAAGGATGTTCTGCTGAATGTTTGTTAGAGGAATGGTGGATGGAACCAAGTTAAAAATCCTTTTAAATAGGATTTCTTGGGGCCTTTAATAAGTTAGTGTGCCATACAAATCTCCAAGAAAGATAAACAGCAGGCAGCCCTTCCAAATTTCTTGGACTGTGGAACTCTACTGTCATGAAGCACACACGAGAGTAACTTTCCACTGAATATACTTTGGACAAAACTGAACTCCAAAGAGGTTCCAAGAAGGTCTTTCAGATATGATGGTGGCATATATGCAATCAAATTTCTTACACAGAAAATATGCATTTGGCTTCCCCTTTCCTATATAAATAGTTTGCAAAAGTTAAAAGTATGGAACGTGTCAGTTGGCTCTGGTCTTGGCCCTGACCGAGAAAGCAGGACATGTGTAAGGGGCAGGGGGCAGGTGGGTGTCACCTGAGGTCAGAGATGGTAACAAAGACCTCCTGGCGCACAGAGCTCAAGAGAGAATGCACAGGCTCCTCTTCTACCAGCATCTGCAATGAGAGGGCAAGAACTTTATTATTATTTTTAAAGATTTTATTTATTTATTTGACAGAGAGAGACACAGTGAGAGAGGGAACACAAGCAGGGGGAGTGGGAGAGGGAGAAGCAGGCTTCCCGCGGAACAGGGAGCCTGATGCGGGGCTCGATCCCAGGACTCTGGGATCATGACCTGAGCTGAAGGCAGACGCTTCAACGACTAAGCCACCCAGGCACCTGGAGGTCAAGAACTTTAAAACAGAGTCGAGAACGTGCCAAGTCCTTGGGCTAGACGATCAAAGATGTAGATCGCCTGCAAGAACCACAGCAGGGACTTCATTAGGTCCTGCTCTTGACTCCACAGGACCGACAGTAGGACAGTGGCCAGGCCAGGAGTTTATGCTCTGGAGCCAGAGCCTGAGGCCTGGCGCTGCCTCTTATTAGCTGTTTGAGCGGACACAAGTGATTTACCCTGCCCCTCCCCCCATACCTCAGTTTCCTCTTTGTAAAGTGAGGCACCTGTACTGTTTACCATCCTAAGGCGGTTGTGAACAGTAATGAACTAATTCATAATTCCTAGTAGCCCTTGAGAACTCTTAGCATCTGTTACTCATTATTTTTACTACTTGTGATTATTTCCAGTTTAGGCATCCTAACTCCTCTTTCTACCAAACAGCAATCTCTACTATAGTGTCTAATATTAGTATGTGACTTGTCCTAGAAAAGGAATAGCTTTCCAAATTCCAAATTGGCAGAGTTTGGAAAGCTGCCTTGCTTTGTTGGAAAAATCTGTAGACAGAGAGGAAAAAAAGAGGCTCTGGAGCTAGACAGCACCTGGGTTTGGGCACTGGCTGTGGCTCTCTCTCCCCTTGTGACCCAGAACGTAGCATTAAACTTCCCTGGGCCCGAGTTTCCTGATCTGTACGGGGGAAAAGAGATAAATCTCGGGGAGTTAAAATAAAGAGCAAATGTAAATGGTTGTAGTGGAAGCCTTCCTGGGCTGTCTACCCAGCCTCTCTGGATAATTCCCCTGGGTCACAGAATGGGCACCTCACAGCCATGCTTCCGCTAAGTCATTCTGTCCCACTAACCATACCTTATCCAGACAGGAGTAGATTCTTTTTCTCAGCACTCTGGAATTGAGACCAAGAGCCTCAATCTTATTCCGGCTGGCCTACTAAAAAGAGAAAATTTAAAATTTGGGAGCACTGTGCCCTGTGGACAGGGTAACAGAGAGAGCCAATTTTGGGAAGAGAGGTGAGGGAGAGAGAGAGAAATCAAAGTATATACAAAGGAGCAAAGATGAGAGATGGAGAGAAAGTTCTGAGTATGGGAAAGGTTTTTTTGTTTTTTGCTTTTTTTTCTGGCTTCATTCTCTTCTTGGAGCATGTTGCTCTTCCGGTTACAAGATTCTGGGAACGCTCAGTTATCCTAAGAACAAATCTCCCCTTTGGTGCTTCAGCAGCCTCTTGTGGATTTCTCTTTCCTGCCACCAAAAAGACTCACCAGGAACTTAGTGTCCAGGAGGTGGCACTCAATAAATATTACTGTGTTCTCTCTCTTGCCCCTTCCTGACTTTTCTCTTTTCTTTCTCACTTTCCAACTCTGCTCAGATCTTGCTGGTGGCCTGATGCTCTTTCTTGTTTCCTCAAGGAACTCACTTAATTTTGTGGCTTTATAGCCTGGAAGGGACAAAGCACAGGACTCTGCCTTCAGCCTCCCAGGGCTCCACTCCCCCAAATCTAGCTATCTCACGGGCATCACCACTAAGAGCATGGCTACATCCTGGCAATTTGGTGTTAAAAAGTGAGTTCATTATCTTCCTCCTCCAAAGGACACACCTTCCCAGCCTTCAATTGCTGTCAGTGGTGCTCCTTCCCAGGGCTCATAAAAGAGGTGACTTACAATTTCCTTTTCTCCTTTATTCATTTCCCGCATCCAATCAATCATGATGATGGCCACTGTCTGTGCTGCACAGTTCTGGACTCTCCATCCCTACGGCCACTCACCTCATATGTGGATGAAGGCAGTGTCTCTTAGCTAAGCCACCAGGCCCGCAATTCCTTTTTTCAATCAGTTAGGTATGAAAGCCTTATTATTTAATCACAATTATGCTAACTGCAATGGGAGATTCAGAAGTGAGAGGCTATTTTTTGTTTGTCAAGTATTTGTGTAGTAGGAACCTCTTGGGGTGACTATCCAGATTACAGCAATCATCCCTTCTCTGGGAATGGTTTCCAATACACAGAGAGGGATGCCCAGAAGTCATGCCCTTACTATATGATGCTGCCCCCAAACATGCCTAGTTGATGAAGGAGTGGAGAAGAGACCCAGTCTGGGCCAATTAGATTCTTTCTCCCAGAATCTAGAATTTTTGAACGACAGACAGATTGGGAGCGGCTAAAGGTCTGAGTCATTGTGATAGGAGAACAACCCCGCCTTTGAGACCCCAGGAGTTGTCCTGGAATATACTCTTCTGGAGGCTTGATTGTTAAAAGGCTTAGATTCTAAGGGAGATATCCCAGCATGCTGCTTTTTCTTTTTTTTTAACTAAGTGAGCCAGAGTTGATTTTTATTGCTCTCTCCAAGAAGAATCTTAACCAATCTTTTTTTTTATAATCTTTAAATTTTTTATTGTTATGTTAATCACCATACATTACACCATTAGTTTTTGATGTAGTGTTCCATGATTCATTGTTTGTGCATAACACCCAGTGCTCCACGCAGAACGTGCCCTCTTTAATACCCATCACCAGGCTAACCCATCCCCTCCACCCCCCTCCCCTCTAGAACCCTCATTTTGTTTTTCAGAGTCCATTGTCTCTCATGGTTCGTCTCCCCCTCCGATTTACTCCCCTTCATTCTTCCCCTCCTGCTATCTTCTTTTTTTTTTTCTTAACATAGATTGCATTATTTGTTTCAGAGGTACAGAACTGTGATTCAACAGTCTTGCACAATTCACAGCACTCACCATAGCACATACCCTCCCCAATGTCTATCACCCAGCCACCCCATCCCTCCCACCCCCCCACCACTCCAGAAACCCTGTTTGTTTCCTGAGATTAAGAATTCCTCATATCAGTGAGGTCATATGATACATGTCTTTCTCTGATTGACTTATTTCACTCAGCATAACACTCTCCAGTTCCATCCATGTCGTTGCAAATGGCAAGATCTCATTCCTTTTGATGGCTGCATAATATTCCATTGTGTATATATACCACATCTTCTGAATCTTAACCAATCTTAACAAAATGAGACATTTTGTCTCAAAGGCCTTAATGAAAGCCAGACAGATATTACTATCTCCATTTTCCAGGTGGAGCTAGAGGTTCAGAGAAGCTAAGTGATTTGTCTCAGATCACACAGGTTGTGCTTGACAGCGCTGGAATTAGAAACTGTGTCTTCTAATTCCTAACATAGGTCCCTTTCTTCTTCACCGTTCTGCTTCAGGGAGCTCAGACTCTCACCAACACAAATGGGCAGTCTTCTCATGTTAGTTCAGTCTACTGTGAACTATCCATCCTCCGAAATCCTTCAGCATTTATTATCCATAACACTGAAGAGTCTTCCTGAAACGTCATTCTCATCCACTGCCTGCCTCATGGCTCAAGTGATCCAGTGCCTGTTCAATGCTGAGTGTAACTTTATTTACCAAACAACACAGTAGTAGTAGGATTTTGTGGAGGACCCCAGGTGCAGAATTAGGGTGGACTCCCAAGCTCAAGTCTGACACCATCAAGATTCTAGTATCGCAGGTCTTAGTGCCCATGTCTGCTGTGGAGCACCAATAGCATCTAAAAAGCACCTCCTCTGCCATTCTGCCTTGACATAGCCAGGTAGTCATTTGCCAATCAAACCCCTACCCCCTGGTCCCTTCTGTCTACCCAATCCAGCACATCCTTCCAGGCTTACATCAGGAGATCTATCTGGATTAATTTCATGCCAATCTTGTCATCTTTACTCCATATCCTAGTTGCCATTGCATTTCTTCTTTTCTATTGAAGTTCTCAACAGGATTTTTATAGCTTTTTTGACTTTGACGTAAGACACACAACAAACCGTACATATTTAAAGTGTATAGTTTGAAGATTTTTGACTTAGGTATGCATTCACCACAAGATAATGAACATATGGATCACTCCAAAAAGTTTGTGTAAACTTTGTAATTTCTCACTCTTGTTCCTCCCCATTCTACTCCTATTTTCAGGTAACCACTGATCTGATGTCACTTTACACAAGTTTGTATTTTCTGTAATTTTATTTAAATAGAATCATATCTATATCTTCTTTGTCTGGCTTCTTTCACACAGCATGATTATGTTAAGATTCATTCAAGTTGTAGCACGTATCAATAGCTCATTCCTTTTTTGTTTGTTTTTTAAGAGAAAGAGAGAGTGTGCAGGTGTGCGTATGTACACGCAAGCAGTGCGGGAGTGTGGAGGGGCGGAGGGAGAGAGAGAATCTTAAGCAAGCTCCACAATCAGTGCAGAGCCCAACACGGGGTTTGATCTCATGACCCTGAGATCATGACCTGAGCTGAAACAAGTCAGACACTTAACCAACTGAGCCACCCAGGCACCCGTGTTCATTCCTTTTTACTGCTTGGTAGTATTCCATTATAAGGATATACCACAATTTATTTATCCATTCATCTGTTGATGGACATTTGGGTTGTTTCTAGTGTTTAGCTATTACATATAGAGCTTCTATGGACATTTGTGTACATGTTTTTTTGACATATGCTTCATTTTACCTAGGAGTAGAATTGCAGGGTCATATGGAAAGTGTTCTAGTGGGTGTATAGTTCGATCTCATTGTGGTTTTAATTTGCTTTTCCCTAATCACAATGATGGAGCATCTTTGCATATGCTTATTTATAAATCTTCTTTGGTGGAGTGTCATAACAGATCTTTTCCCCTTCCTTTCCATAATCTTTTCACAGCTTCTTTGGGTTTTTTTTATTTGGATACTGAGGAGGCATGCATTGGCATGGGTCATGAGAAGACTGGCAAATGCCTTACCATTCTTCTTTATAATGGCCCTTTCCTCTCCTTGTCGATTACTCAGCAGAAGTGCCTCTCCTCCTGGCTGTTGGGAGCTGTACTCTTTTAGTCCCTGCACATGACCTTGAAGGGACTTTGTAGACTTGTCCAATGATGCAATGACCCATGCAATTCTCTCACGGACACCAATTACCTTAACACCTCTAGGCTGTACCTGCTAGCTCAGATTTTGGTTGATACCTGAAGTGGGTATTTTACCAATGGTTGGGCAGATCTAGATGGAGAGTATGGAGAAATTCAGTTTACTTTTGCTGTTTGGGACTTGCATTTGTGGATCTTCTGAGCTGGCTGGTTGAGCCAGGTGGCAGCTCACTGCTGCCAATCCTTGTGGAAGTGAGATTTTGGAATCATGACATTTGGTTGGCTCCTATGGCTGCCTATAACCTTCTTCCCGTGGAATGTAGCCAAGTAGAGAGCTGTATTCATCCTTAAATCGGCAAAATATCATTCTGTTCTTCTTTTTAAAAAATTTTTGCTAGATTTAAGCAGTGTTATTTTTTTTTAAAAGACTTATTTGAGAGAGAGAGTCAGAGGGAGAGGGAGAGAGACAATCCCAAGCAGACTCCTCACTGAGAGCGGAGAGCGGAGCCTGACGCAGGGCTCGATCTCACAACCCTGAGATCATGACCTGAGCCAAGACCAAGAGTCAGATGCTTAACCGATTGAGCCAACCAGGCACCCCTCATTCTGTTCTTTTTGATGTATTATTTGGAATAGTTTTCAACCTATTTATGAGGTGGTCATTTCCAAATGGACTGTAAACTCTTGGAGGGCAAGGATTAACACTTCCAGGAAATTTGCATTCTTTATTGAAGCACCACAGTGTTCTAGATATAGAAGATCCTTGATAATTGTCTATGGTTTAACAAACCTGTTGGCTGGTTAGGCTTCAATTCTGAAAACTAATCACCGGTCTAATCAGCCTTATAGATCTGTGGGTTGGAAAAAAACTGCTCATTTTCCTGGGGTGTGTAAGAAATCTCAGATTCAGAATTCTAAAGCTTCAGAGAAACTGAAGGGGACATTTCACAGATAAGAAAAGTAAAGCATCAAAAAGTTAAACACTTGCTTAAGTGCATCACTTCCTTTGTAAAGCCCTTCTGGATCTTTTGACATGGACTCAACCTCTCACTCACTCCTCTGTACCCTTACTATACCTGTTTAAACTTTTGTCACAGTCCCTGTGACACTTGATTACACCTTGCTTGGCTTCAGGAACAGGGATCCTGTCTTATCTTTGTAACCTCAATTTGCAGCCCAGACACTGCCTGGAACCGTCAAGCACTAATAAGGCAATAAATGAATCAGACAGCGGCAGACTGTGGCTGGAGTTGGGTATAAATACAATAAAAAGAATATAACCATGTTTCTCAAATGTAAACTATGTGTTAGGTATCACACTACATGACTTATGTTTATTTCTTATTTAATACTCTCAATAGCTCTGTGAAAGATACAGCTATTTTTATTCTGTAGATGAGGAAGCTGCGGCACTAAGTTACACAGCTTCCCAAAGTCAAACAGCTGAAAAGAGGCAGAACTGGCACCTGAACCTGGGCATTGAATATTATAGAGTTTGCCTCATAACTATGACTTCATTAACGAGAATGCAGCATTGTCCTTACTGGGAAATTTAAATGCTGTCTCATTTCTAATAATCTTTTTTATTTTTTTAAAGATTTTTATTTATTTGACAGAGAGAGACACAGCGAGAAAGGGAACACCAGCAGGGGGAGTGGGAGAGGGAGAAGCAGGCTTCCCGCGGAACAGGGAGCCCAACGCGGGGCTCAATCCCAGGACCCTGGGACCGTGACCGGAGCCAAAGGCAGACGCTTAACAACTAAGCCACCTAGGCACCCCTCTACTCATTTTTTAGTTGGTTTTCAAGGGTAACTATATTTGTGGAGTACTCCTGAGTATTTCTCCTCCACGCAAAGATACTGGTATGAGAAGAGGTCAAGGAAATTGGTAATATATGTGAAGCCACTAAAACATTTGTTAGTCAAGTCACTGAATTTGTGTGGTCCTGATAATTTGTGATAAGGTCACCATACTTACATTTAGGATACACACAATATCTGCTATGTGGCTGTGAATGAATGATTCTGTGGTGTCATCATAGGGTAAAGTTCGGCTGAGAGAAGACAAAGATCGTAGGAATGTCAGCTTCTCAAGTTCACTCTGAATTTGTGGAAAAATGATAAAAGCACAACTATATATTATAATCTCATTTGATGATTATAGAGGGCTTTTGAGAAGTTTCTTGTAATGTTCTAAACATTTGACATCTCATTCAATCTAGTCTCAGGTCTTTTATTATAAGGAATGAATAAATTACAGAGATGTGGAATTCCTTGTCGACTTGCCCTGTCTGGGTTTGGGAGTTTGTTTTCCCTCTCAGCTAGATTAAATGCTAGATTACTAACTGCTCCATGATGGCGCTCCCCACCTTTAGTCTTTGCTTCCCCACCTACCCATCCTGTCTATATACTACTGTCTGATTAAACTTCCTAAGGGTTATCTTTGACTGTTACTTCTACCTCTCTTGATGTCATTAAAGATTATTTTGAGTCTTTAAGATTCCCTATTAAAACGCAAGTTCTTATTTGAAGAATAAAATCTTTTGTATTATTCTTTTTCTGATTACAAAAGCAATTATCTATTATCATAGAAACTTTGAAAAAATAAAGTATGAAGAAGACAATAAAAGACATCAATAATTCCACAATCTTGGGAAAATTTCTTCTCACCTTTCCCTCACAGCCTATAGATAGTATAAACTGGTATAAGCTCTCTGGATAGCAAGTAGCAATATATACAGCCAGAAGCTGACTTCATGGCCTAATTCTTTCTCATCTACATTAGTATAACAATCAACATTGAATTTCCCTGCTTCAGTTTTGCTCCCCTCCAATCTATTCCCCTAGCTATCACCAGATTCATCTTCACTAAGTGCAAACTTGATCAGGTAGCTCCCTATTAAAATATCTTTCAATAGCACCCATGGAGGTCAAGGCCCTCCAATGTGAACCCAGCTAACCTCTTCAAATTCATCTCCTCCTTGCCCTGCAGCATTCTGAACTTTAGACAGATTAACTTTTATGCTGCCCTTTTCTGGTTCTGGGCCTTTGAGCCTTCTGAATTCTCTATACTCATTTTGCTTACTAAAATCTGTATATCCTTTAAGACTAGGAAAATGCATTTTCTCCTGAAGCAGCATTAGGTGCCCTTCCTAAGAGTATCCATAAAGCTCATGTATGTATATTGCTATCATGGTATTTGTGATACTCTGACAAAACTTATTTTGTCTTATTCATCTATTTTCCTGCCTGGTTGTGGATTCAGGTCAAGGCAGGGAATGGATTTTTCTTTTCTTTCAATTCACTGCAGCAATCCCAGCCCTTTATTAATTACAAAGAAATGCTTTATAAAGCCCTGCTAACATGAAGTGTAAAGAAAAGTCTGAGTCGAAAGTGAAGACCAACATTCTGGCTTTAAGTGCTTTTTTTCCAAAAACTTTTTTTTTTTTTTAAAGATTTTATTTATTTATTTGACAGAGAGAGACACAACGAGAGAGGGTACACAAGCAGTGGGAGTGGGAGAGGGAGAAGCAGGCTTCCCGCTGAGCGGGGAGCCCGATGCGGGGCTCGATCCCAGGACCCTGGGATCATGACCTGAGCCGAAGGCAGACGCTTAAGGACTGAGCCACCCAGGCGCCCCTTTCCAAAAACTTTTTATTAGGGCGCCTGGGTGGCTCAGTTGGTTAAGCGACTGCCTTCGGCTCAGGTCATGATCCCAGAGTCCCGGGATCGGGTCCCGCATCGGGCTCCTTGCTGAGCAGGGAGCCTGCTTCTCCCTCTGACCCTCCCCCCCTCATGTACTCTCTCTCTCTCATTCTCGCTCTCTCAAATAAATAAATAAATCTTTAAAAAAAAAAACAACTTTTTATTAGCATTATACATAGAAAAAATGTAAAGTTTGATGAATTTTCCCAAACTAGAAACATCTGTGTATATATAGTCAAAGGAAGTGAAATCTGGATCTGAAAGAGATCTCTGCGCTCCCAAGTTCAATGTAACATTATTCACAATAGTGGAGATATGGAAATAACCTAAGTGTCTGTTGACAAACACGTTCATCACTATCATTTAAACATACCAGCCTTCTGAGTTCATCAAACATGCTCTGCTCCTTTCTGCCTCAAGGTTGTTACACATACGAGGCCCTATTTCTGGAATACTTCCTCCAATTCTAACTTCTCTTAGTTTCTCCTATTCATTTCTCAGATCTGATCTCCAGGGTTCCTTCCTCAGAAATGCCTTCCCTTGCCCCCAGGTTAAGACAAATTCTTCTGTCATGTGCTTTCACAGAATAAATGAATGAATGAATGTTCTGCTAAACAACAGAATACTGTATTAAGCAGGGTAATATATCCATAGCTATTCACCTAGAAAACTTCTTTCCCCCCACCATCTCTGATGTTTATTTTTCTATAATTACATGCATTTGTATGTACAGAAGAAAAAGTCTGAAAATATATATACAAAAATGTTAACATTAGTTATCTTGGGAGAGTGGATTAGGGAAGACTCGTTTTTCTCCTTTTCTTTCTTTTAATTGGGATTTTATAGTTTTGTAAACAGAAGCATAAATATAAGTACAATTTATAAATGTTTATTATAAAAACACAAATATAAACATATTTTATAGTCTATAATATCAATTATTTATATGATAAAGAAATCATAAATGTTTAAAATATTTGTTAAAATGGAGGAATAAGTTGGATGACTCAGTATGATTGCTTGTGCATACCTGTAGCTCACCATCAAAAACCTCCTGGATAGACTGGATGAGCCTCTCAACAATGGCCTCACTGAGGGGGCCCTTTTGGGTCAGGCGTCTGAAGCTATCTGTGAGCGGTTCCTGAGAGAGTCCAGCGATGTCAGAGATGTCGGAGTCTAATACTGAAAGAAACACAGATTACATATCTGTATTACGTAGAGCTAGACAGTCATAACAGGGAGATCCACTGGATGTCAGGATAGACGTGACCTGGTCTCACCCTTACTATCTGCTCTGCAACCTTGATCAAGTCTCTTCCACTCTCCAAGTTTGTCTTCCCAATTACAAATTCAGTGTTCTCTAAGGGCCTCCTAAGCTACAAAAACCTTTAAGAGTGAGCTATAGCAGAGTGGTTAAGATCATGGACTTTACATCTCAGTCTGAGACTAATCTGAATCCTGGCTCTACCCCTTATTAAGTTTTATGACCTTTATCAAGTTAGTTTGCCTCTTGGAACCTTAGTTTCTTCACCTGTAAAACAGGGTTATCACAAGGATTAGGTGAGGTAATGAATACAAAAGACTTATCTAAGTATGTGGTCCATAGTAAGCCCTAATGGTAGGTATTATTATTAAATTCAAAATGACTATGGCTCTATGGTGACAAGAGCTTAAAATACAGTAGCAACCCCTTGCTGGTCTCTTCCTACTGGACCAGGCTGCAGTAGGTGCTTGAGGGACCTCCTTCCAGACCTGGGATATACTTTGATTAAGAGCACAGGCTCTGGGGGCGCCTGGGTGGCTCAGTCGTTAAGCGTCTGCCTTCGGCTCAGGTCATGATCCCAGGGTCCTGGGATCGAGCCCTGCATCGGGCTCCCGGCTCCGCGGGGAAGCCTGCTTCTCCCTCTCCCAACCCCCCTGCTTGTGTTCCCTCTCTCGCTGTGTCTCTCACTGTCAAATAAATAAAATCTTTAAAAAAAAAAAAAAAAGAGCATACGCTCTGGAGTTGGTCTGCCTAGGCTTGGATCCTTGCTCTGCCTCTTTCTAGCATTATGACCATGCGTGATCTTACTTTTTCTGGGTCTATTTCTTCATTTCCAAAATGGGGATGATAATAGAACCTACCTCGTTTGGTTGATACAGAGCTAGCACCAAGGAGGTGGTGGCAAATATTATTCCTTTGCTGGTCACAGTGATTATGGTGGTATCATTTCCCCCTTCATATAGCTTTACATCCTTACCTCCTCTGTTTTCCAAAACCAAGCTCTTTATTCCTATTGGGGAAACAGTCTTACTATATCCCTCTTACACCCATCATCAGGGTTTCTACCTCTCCACTTCTGTATACTTTTTGCTCTCCTGAATTATAACCTCTGCAAATTCCTGCCACCCACTGTCACATTCTTCTCAAGCAATAGAAGCCCTATCTCATTCAGCTCTCATGCTTCTCCCTACATGTTTCTCCTTCTTCTTCCCTACCTTCCCTACTCCTACCTCCTTTGCCTAGCTAACTGCCACTCATCCTTCAGGGCTCTGCTCCAGGATGCCTTTCTTGAATCTCCTCTTTGCCCATTTTGACCAAGTATCCACCTAACTGCTAAAAAACCTCTTTATATTTGCTCCCTACCCCCACTCCCAATCACCCATATTAAACTGAGTTCCAATCATTTATCTACAAGTACACTGTGTCTACTCCATTCATTACTAAATCTCCAGCAGCTAGATCTGTGTTTACGGCATAGTAGGACTTCAATAAATGCTTGCTGAATGAGTGTAGAAATGGAGAAATGTGTTCCTCAAATAGTCTTTCCTGTCTCATACACATGCTATTATATCCATCTGGAATGTTCTTTCCTCTACTTCTCACATGGGTTGCTCTTTGATATCCTTGAGGCCTCCTTTAGGCTTAAACAGCACCATCTTAGATAGGTGTTCTCTGACAACCATGGCTTAAAATAGGTTCCCAGCTCCCTTATTTTTTGTCTTAGCTCCTTGTATAATTCTTTCATAGTATTAACTACAATTTGTAATTACTTTATTTAATATCTGTTTACTTATTTTGGTCCTTTTCAGCAAATTCTGTGAGGGCAGGGACCATGTCGGTCTTGTTCATTGCTGTATATTCAACAACCGGTACTCAGTAAATGCTTGTAGAATAAGTGAAAAGATATATTCTATAGCCCAATCAAGGGTCCACCCACAACCACCTTTCCCTTCTCAGAATCCTTCTAGCACTTAGACTCTGTGCAAGTCTGTAGGATTAACTATCTCAGTTTCCTGTATGTCTAGACTAATATATTTTATCTCATTGTGCCAACCATTTTCCAAGGTCTTAAATTCAGGGACCAAATTCATTGTCAAAGTCTAGTTGAGGACTCTCATCCAGCAGCTTGACTCAAACAGACAAACCCTTTTCTCCACCTCCCTTCCTTCAAAAAAAAAAAAAAATCTTTTCCCCCTTTTACCTGTAAGTTCAAGGCCACTTGAATCTTTTTTAATATTCTCTAAGTTGCTCAGCTGCAAATCCACACTCCCTGAATCATTGTCAGAAGCACAAGGGATCACTACTTCTTCCCAACTACAGATCCTAGGAATGAAGAGGGGATCAGAAATATTAGTATTTTATTTATTTATTTATTTACTTAATTTTATTTAAAATCAATTAACATATAGTATATTATTGGTTTCAGAAGTAGAATTTAGTGGTTCATCAGATGCATATAACACCCAGTGCTCATTACATCAAGTGCCCTCCTTAATGCCCATCACCCAGTTACCGCTTCTCCCCACCCACCTCCCCTCCGTCGAACTTCAGTTTGTTTCCTATAGTTAAAAGTCTCCTATGGTTTGTCAAGAAATATTAGTATTTTAGGATCGCTTCTGTCTCACCACTTGAGAGAAAGCTTAAATGTCACATTCTCAGAGAAGCATTTATTGATCACAGTCTAGGTTAGGTAGCTTCTCCCCACCCCAGTCCCACAGTTCTTTTCTTATTTTTTCCCATAGTATTTAACCATTACCTACAATTATCAAGTTCATTTGGGTTTGTTGACTGTCTCCCATCAGACTATAGGCTCCATGAAGGGAGAAACCTTGTCTACATGGTCATGGTTGAATTGCCAGCACCTAGCATATTGTCAGCCTCATGGGGCATGAATGGATAGGTAAGAAATACTATGCTGCTGTTAAAAGAAACTGAGGTAGAACACCCCCCAATTCCCCATACCCTTTCCTACTTTTTCTTGTTCTTATAGCACACAATCCCTTCTAATATATTATTCACCTATTTATGGTATTATCATCTATTTCTTCCTGCTAAAATGTAAGCTCCATGAAGGCAAATTCCCCCGATTCCCCTTACCCTTTCCTACTTTTTCTGTTCCTATAGCACACAATCCCTTCTAATATATCATTCACCTATTTATGAAATTGTTTATCATCTATTTCCTCCTGCTAAAATGTAAGCTCCATGAAGGCAAAGATCTGTGGCTACTTTGTTCATGAACGTATTCTAAGAGACTAAAATACCTGGCACACGGTAATGCTCGATAAATATTGGTTGAGTGAGTGAATCTCTATTTGCCGATGTTTAGCATATATTAATGAATGAAAAAGCAAGTTGTCAAGCAATCTGTGTAAACTGTGTGTGTACATACAGACACATAGACACACACAAATGTTGGGATACGTGTAGAAAAACTTTTGGTATTCAAATCCAACATCTGTGGAGTGGAATTTTTGAGAGAAAAATTTAGTTTTTAAACTTTTATACTGCCTGAATTTTTTTTACATTGGCATGTGTAGCATATATTGACAAAGATGTGGAGCACAGAACTCATAAGTCACAGTTACAGTGTAAATTGGTACAACCATTTTGGAAATAATTTGGCATCATCTAGTAAAGTTGCAAATGGGCCTATACCATGAAACTATTTCACTCCTAGGAATGTATTCCAATGAAACTCTTACCCATGTGCATTAGGAATACATGCAAGAATCTGCACAGCAGTAGTCATCATAGCAAAAAACTAGAGACACCCAATGGCCTACCAACAGTAGAAAAACTATGGTAATTCATCCAATAAAGTACTATATACTAGAATGAATTCTATCTATGCACAGCAATGCAGATAAATCTTACCATGTTGAGAAAAAAAAGAAAGTCACAGAAAAAATACATAGTAAATTCCATTTGTATAAAATTAAGAAATATGCAAAAGTAAACAAATACTGTTTGGAGTTATAAACATATACAGTAAAACTGTGAAGAAAAGCAAGGAAACAATATAACCTATAACCTGCAGGAGGGGAATCTCTGAGCAGAGAGAAAGGGGATGGAATGGGTAAGACTAGAAAGAGAACTTAAAAGTTATGGTTATATCACTTCTCGGCCTTTTGGCTAAGATCAAGTGTAAAAGTTATGGTTATTTATTTATTTGTTTTAAGTAGGCTCTACTCCCAGAGTGGAGCCCAACATGAGGCTTGAACTCACGATCCTGAGAGCAAGATCTGAGCTGAAATCAAAAGTCGGATGCTTAACTGACTGAGCCATCCAGGCGCCCCTGTTTTTTAATGGGATGGCAAGTATACAATTTCACTGTATCATTCTTTTTTCTTTATGTATGTTTATAAATATTGTTTTTTCATTTAGTCAATCGTAAATAAAACAATTTTGGGAAAAAAACCCAAACCAATAAAGTTTGAGCCTCTTCCTGTGTACTTATATTTAATAATTTAAAAAAAACAGTTAATTAAAAACAAACAAACCAGGGCACCTGGGTGGTTCAGTCAATTAAGCGTCTGTCTTCAGCTCAGGTCACGATCCCAGAGCGTGGGATGGGGCCTTGCATCAGGCTCCATGTTCAGCAGGGAGTCTGCTTCTCCCTCTGCCCCTCCCCCGCCCATGCTGGTGCTCCCTCTGCCTCTCAAATAAATAAATAAATAAAATCTTTAAAACAAACAAACCCTCTAAGAGTAGAATGGCTGGGTCATGCAGTAGGTCATATAACTGGCTTTTTAAAAAGCTACAAATCTGTTTTCTAATATGACAGCACCATTTTCCATTTCCACCAGCAGTATATGCAAGTTCCAGTTGTTCCACATCCTTGCCAGCATTTGGTATTATTGGTCTTTTTTATATTAACTATTTCGGTGGATATATAGCAATATCTCCTGGTGACTTAATATACAGTGCAATCAATGTGTAATGATGTTGATTATCTTTTCATGTGTTTATCTGCTCTACGTATATCGTTTTTTTTCCCTAAGATTTTATTTATTTATTTGACAGAGATAGCGAGAGCAGGAACATAAGCAAGGGGAGTGGGAGAGGGAGAAGCAGGCTTCCTGCTGAGCAGGGAGCCCCATCCCAGCACCCTGGGATCACCACCTGGACCCAAGGCAGACACTTAACGACTGAGCCACCCAGACGCCCCTCTGCTCTATGTATATCTTGATGAAGTGCCTATTCAAGTCTTTTGCCTGTGTTTTTACCGGGTTGCTTGCAGTAGTATGCTGGTAAATGTTTAAAACAGACTTTCTAAATGTAGTTTTTAAGTGAATACTGGTTGATATTTTCATTTACATTAATGAGTACAATGTAACTGAAACTTCAGAAGTGACTTCTCTGAATTGGATAATAGTTTTCAAACACTAGAATGATACTCCCTCAAGTTTTTGAGCTATTCGCAATGTAAAGCCTACAGACATGACACACTTCTAAATTTAATCTCTATTAACATTTCTCCATCATTAAGTTCAGACATAACAAAGCAGAAAATCAAGCCCTGGTGTGTAGCATTTGCTGATTCTATGGTGTAAATATTCCCATTGTGGCCAAAATCAAGCTACTGATGTTACTTTGGAAAAAGATGTGCACATCACCATATAATATTTCCACCATATAGATGCAATAGAAATAAGGAACCATAAAAGCATACAAAATGGGAAAATGTAGTAATAACGAAATGATGAGTGGTTTTCAATAGACTTTATTTCATTTAAGTTAGTATAATTTAATTTTTCTAAATAGCTGTATTTAACAACCAATTTGCAAAATTCTTGCTAAATTTAAAAATTTTATTTATTTTTAGAGAGGGAGAGTGTGAGCAGGGGGAAGAGCAGAGGGGGAGCGAGAGGAAGGGGAAAGGAATCCCAAGCAGGCTCCACTCTGAGCCTGGAGCCCTACATGGGGATCGATACCACGACCCCAAAATCATGACCTGAGCCAACACTCACTCAACCGACTGAGCCACCCAGGCGTCCCCCCTTGCTAAATTTCGTTAAGTGACTCTTTCAAGCCAGTATGAAATGGCTTCAGCACATCGGTGGTTGTCTTATTATTGAGTTTGAGTTTTTTTTTTTTAAGATTTATTTATTTGAGAGAGACCTGCTACTTCTGTATAATTGGGCTAATAGGCTCCTCAGAGTTATTGCGAGGAGTACTAAGTCCACAGAAATACTTTGCAAATCAAAGAAAACCTCACTCATTAGATCAGTTATTGACAAGCGAAACAATCTTTGGAGGAAATTGCCATAATTTCCTAAAGAGAAGAAGAAAAAAAAAAAAAGAACGGAAGAAAAGGAAAGCCCAAGCCCTGGAACACTAATTGCCCTTCCTCACGGGACCCTTCCCATTCCTTTAAAATCGGCCGGGCTGCAGAGAGACGACTGAGTGACGGCGCGATCGGCCAATCAACGCGATCGGCCAATCAGCGGAGGCCCCGTTTCGGGCCCACCCCGAAGCCTCGTCCAACCGCGTACTGGTAGCACCCGGATTAGGACCGTTGCGAGGCGGCCGGTTCCAAGTGGCCCAGGTCGCGGGGGGGGGAGGCCGGCCTATACACGAGGACGGCGCCGCCCTTTGCGCGCGGGAACTGGAATTTGGGCCGCGGTTGCTGGGACCGGGCCGACCCAGCGGGACGGCGGGGACTAACCTGTGCCTAGATCCCATCCCGGCACGCGCAGCCTGCCGCGAGTCCCTGGTGTCCCCTCCGGCGCGCTCTTGGAGCCACTTTCCCGAGCGGAAGTCAGCCTCCGGCTCGGGCCCTGGTGGGACCTGCTCGGAGGAATGGCGTCGCCGGGTGAGGCGTTGTGCATGTCTCGACGACGGGGCCCCGCGGCCGGCACGCCTTGGCGAGTGGGCCGTAGCCCGCGGGAGGCTAGTGCTCGCCACTCGGGAGTCGGCCACGCGGGAGCTTCTTCCCCTGTGGGGCAGGGTCAGGGGCATGGGCTCGGGCTCTTTTGGGGTCGAGTGTGTGACGAAGGGCTGGCGAGCGGGTGGGACTGCGGGCGAATGGAGGTGGGGTGGGTGCCAGTGCGGCGCGGAGCTACGGGTGCCCCCGAGGCCCAGCCGGGGGCCGCGGTTAACCCTAGGTCTGACTTCATTCATTTGATTCGCGGCGGCTCCCGAGCCGGACGGCCTAAGAGTGAGCTTTTGGCCAAGTCGTCCTTTGGACCGTGGCTTCCTTTGTAGTAAAAAAGGAGCAAGGAAATCACTCATCTCTCTGGGAGCTTAGAGTATATTCTGAAGTTAGATTCTCCTGGTGCAAACTTGTAGTTTGTTAAGTATTCGTTAATGTGACCCAGTCCAAGTTCCTTAACCCCTCTGCACCTCAGTTTCTGATCTGTAAACTAGGTTAGTCACGTTATCCTCCTCATAAATTGCTGTATTAAGTGAGCTGAGCCCCGTGCATAGTTTAGAATAGTGCATGGCACTCAGCAAGCATCAATAAAGTTAACTGCATTGCTAGTTATTGGGCGGGCACTGTGCACAATGAGAGCATGTAGTCTCACGGCGGCGTGGGGAATGTGTACTATTATGTACGTTTGACGGATAGGAAGACAAAATTTCAGAGAAGAAAAGTAACTTGCCCAAGATAACAGTGACTAAGACAGTGGGTCATTGCTCCATTTTTTGAAAAGTTGAGGGTAATAGAGTGGTTAAAAAACAAACTTTGGATTCCAACTGCCTGCATTTTGATTCTCAGTTACGTGTCTTAGGGCAGGTAACTCCTAGTGAGTCTCAATTTCTTCATCTGTAAACCGCACTCACTTGGATGTTGTGAAGATTTAATAACTCAGTGCATGCCAAGTACTTAGCATAGTATGGGCATACCCCACACATGTTAAGTGCTCAAATTTTAGCCAAAAATGTTGTCACTATTAATTCGAGGTGGGAAGATTAGAATTCTGACATAGATGCTGTGTTAGGGGAATTTATAGTCTAGCTGGGAAAATGCCAGTTGTCATTTACTAGATCTTAATATATTAAGTGCTATATTAAGCATGGAATATATTGCATGTACACAAGGTACTGGGGATTCAGCATCAGTATCTTTTTGACTCTTTTTCTTACATTTTTCTATCCTTTAGCAGTTCTGGCTTTGACCTTGAATTCTAGCTGGACTCTGACCACTTCTCACCTCTACTGCTGTCACCCTGGCTGTGACCACCATCATCTTTTTACTTGGATTATTACTAACTGGTGTCCTTTTTAGGTTCTTTTCTCCTACCTAGTTTCAACACAGTTTTGTTTATTCTCAACACAATGATCCTGTTAAATCGTAAGTCAAATCATTCCTCTTAAAACTTTCTAGTGGCTCCCATCTCTCAGTATAAGCCAGAGTCCCTACAGAGGTTTAAAAGGTCCTTCAGGTTTGGCCTCTGCTACCTCTTTCACATCTTCCATACTTTTCACCTTTTGCTTATGCCACTCTAACTATACTTTCCTCTTTGCTAATGTCAAAGAATACCACATATACAGGGTCTTTGCACATGCTTTTCTTCTTGGGATAGTTTACCCCAAAATATCTTTGTGATGCTCCTTCTTTTCTTTCAGGTCTGTACACAATAGCTTTATTTCTTAGTTAGATCTTCATAGACTACCATATTTAAAATCATAACTCTGGGGCACCTGGGTGGCTCAGTTGGTTAGGCATCTGCCTTCTGCTTAGGTCATGATCCCAGGGTGCTGGGATTGAGCCCCATGTTGGGCTCCCCGCTTGGTGGAGAGCCCGCTTCTCCCTCTGCCTCTGCTGCTCCCCCTGCTTGTGTGTGTTCTCTGTCAAATAAATAAATAAAATCTTAAAAAAAAAATAAAATCGTAATTCTTCTCAGATATCTCTTCCGTGCTTCATTTTTCTCCATAGCACTTTTCACCTTCTAATGTGATAATCTTTCTTTCTTTCTTTCTTTTTCTTTCTTTTTAAAGATTTTATTTATTTGAGAACACGAGAGAGATAGCATGAGGAGGATGAGGGGCAGAGGGAGAGGGAGAAGCAGGCCCCTGCTGAGCAGGGAGCCCGATGCAGGGCTTGATCCCAGGACCTCAAGATCATGACCTGAGCTGAAGGCAGATGCCTAACTGACTGAGCCACCCAGATGCCCCATAAATAATGTTTCTTAATTGTGTTGTGTGATATCTTTCTTTTCTGACTAGAATGTAGGCTTTATGAGGTTTGGTTTTTTTTTTTTTTTAATTCTGTTTCCTGCTTTATTTTTAATACCAAAAATAGTGCTTGGTAAGCATTCAATAAATATTTTATAATTGAATACTCCACACTATAGATTCCTATAAACACTATAGTGTTTTATTTATTTATTTATTTATTTATTTATTTATTAAAGATTTTCTTTATTTATTTGACGGAGACACAGCGAGAGAGGGAACACAAGCAGGGGGAGTGGGAGAGGGAGAAGCAGGCTTCCCGCTGAACAGGGAGCCCGATGCAGGGCTCGATCCCAGGACCCTGGGATCATGACCTGACCTGAAGGCAGACACTCAACCGACTGAGCCACCCAGGTGCCCCCCTTTCTAGTGTTTTAAAAAGAACTTCCACATTCTTTAGATTATTTAACACACAAGAAGGATTTAAATAGAACTAGCACTCGTAGAAGAACAATTCTGAGTTACCGCTAATGTAGGCATTGTTTGTACAACAATCCCCCCAAAATAGTGGAGTGTAAACTGTTAGATTTGAGTGAATCCAAGATCGTCTGCAAGGTACTCTCATTCTCAGTTTTCTTATTTGTAAAATAGATATAATGATGCCTTTTTTTTTTTTTTTTAAGTAATCTCTCTGCCCATTGTGGGGCTTGAATTCACACCCCGAGATGAAGAGTCGCAGGCTCCACTGACTGAGCCAGCCAGGAGCCCCCTAATAATGCCTTTCTTAAGGGATTCTAGTTCAAACTAAATTTGACACTATGGGCAGAGGATTTAGGACTACTACCATTAGCCTTGTGATTACAGTAGAGCTCCCTTATCTGCAGGGCTTACTTTCCAACATCTCCAGTGGATGCCTAAAACTGCAGATAGTACTGAACCCTTATATATACTGTGTTTTTTTCTATACATGCATACCTATGATAAAGTTTAATTTATAAATTAGGCACAGAAAGAGATTAACAATGATAACAATAAAAACAATTATTAACAATATACTGTAACAAAAGTCATGTGAATGTGGTCTCTCAAAATATCTTTACTCACCCTTTTTTTTTTAAGATTTTTTATTTATTTGAGAGAGAGAGAGAGAGAATGAGAGAGAGAGCACATGAGAGGGGGGAGGGTCAAGGGAGAAGCCGACTCCCTGTCGAGCAGGGAGCCGGATGCGGGACTCGATCCAGGGACTCCAGGATCATGACCTGAGCCGAAGGCAGTCGCTTAACCAACTGAGCCACCCAGGCGCCCTGTACTCACCCTTCTTGATACAGATGCTTACGTGATAAAATGTCTGCATGATGAGATGAAGTAAGGTGACTGACGTAGGCATTGTGATGTAGCATTAGGCTACTACTGACCCGACAATACTGGACCATGGTTGAACATGGGTAACTGAAACGGTGAAGAGTACGGTTAAGCTGGTGGTGGGGCGGGGGGTGGTGGATACTGTTCTGTTAATTATATGGCAGTCGATTCATGAAGCAGCCCATAGAATGGACCACTCATAACTGCTTCCTGTCTCCTGGAGCATAATAGACAAGGATTAATTTTTCATTTATTTAGCAGATATTAATTCAGTACTAATACCTGCCAAGCAGTGTTTAGTACTTGGAAATACTGGGATGTACAGAAGAAACTGTCTATCCTCATGGAGTTTATAGTTTAGCAGAGGAATCAGACATTACCCTATTAATTGTGGAAGAGACTACGTAGAAGTAGTGCAGGTTGCTATATGCATGGACACAGCAATAACAATAGTGATGGTAATAGAAGTAGCAAACATTTATGTAGCTCGTGTTATAAGCCACTGTTATAAGATCTTTCTATGTTAGCTCATGTAATCCTCATTACACTCCTGAGGTCAGTACTGTTATTATCCCACTTTACGCTTGAGGAAACTGAGGACGGACTGGTTACATTGTAAGTGACACAACCATATTGCTAATAAATGGCAGAACTAGGATTTATTTATTTACTTATTTTCAAAGTATGTATGTGTGTATTTATTAGACAGTGCACAAGCAGGGGAGGGGCAGAGGGAGAGGGAGAGAGAGAATCCTAAGCAGGTTCCATATCCAGTGCAGAATGTGATGGGGGCGCTCAGTCTCACAGCCTTGAGATCATGACCTGATTCAAAACCAAGAGTTGACACTTCACTGACTGAGCCACCTGGGCACGTGGGCAAAGCTAGGATTTAAACCTGGCCTCAGAGGTCACATTCTTCAGTGTTTTATAGTACTGGGGACCTAACCTGAGGAAGGGCAGTTGGGGAGACTTCTTGAGGAAGAGATACTTGAACTGAAATCGGAAAATAAAAAAAAGTTGAAGTAAGGGAAAGCATGAAAAAGTACTGGGTAGGGTAGAACATGACTTGTTAAAGGAACAGAGAGGGGTCCAGAGAGCCACAGATGGAAAGAAGAATGAGGGAAGAGATCTGGTGAGAGGCAGGCGAGGCCATGGTGAGGATTCAGGATTGGGCCTGTCTTAGAGGCAGAGGAGTTACAAACGTACTTGAAATGGGAATGGCATGATGGGTCCTGTGCTTTAGCGACACAGAGGCTACTGGGAGGACAGTCTTTCAGATGGATGAAGACAGCGCCCACCACTTTCCTAGGACTTCTCCCAGTTCCCTCCCCCTTACATGATTTGGTTCCCAGACCTTGGTGCACACCATCATTGGAACTGTATATAGAACTTGGGAATTGTTTGGATCGTATTTAATAGTCATTTCCCCCCAAGGTTCAAGCACTGTCTTCCTGTTGGCCCTGACAATCATAGCCAGC